AAGACCTGTATCTCAAGAACTTTGAATCTTTAAAGAAAGAAATTAAAGAAGCCCTCAGAAAATGGAAAGATCTCCCATGCTCTTGGATAGGTAGGATCAATGTAGTAAAAATGGCAATCCTGCCAAAAGTAGTCTACAGATTCAATGCAAGCCCCATTAAAACCCCAGCACAATTCTAAACAGACCTTGAAAGAACAATAATCAATTTTGTATGGAAAAACAAAAGACCCAGGATAGCCAAAACAACCCTTTTCAACAAGGCAATGTCCGGAGGCATCACCATCCCTGACCTCAAGCTCTATTATAGAGCTATAGTCCTTAAAACAGCTTGGTATTGGCACAAAAATAGACAGGTAGACCAATGGAATCGAAATAAAAATCCGGATATTAACCCACACACGTACTAGTCATCAGAAAAAAAACAATGGAATCCTGAGATTTGTAGGCAAATGGATGACACTACAAGAAACCATCCTGAGTGAGGTAACACAGTCACAAAAAGAGAAACATGGCATGTACTCTCTCATATATGGATTTTAGACATAGATCTGGGGAGTGCCAGCCTACAATGCCATGGCCAGAGAGTCTGGGAAACAGAAACTTCATTCAGTTGGTGATAGAAGAAGAGGCACATTCTCATGGCTAAGCAGTGAGCTGAACTCAAGGAAGCCAGTAAGAGACAGAGGACAGATGACAAAAGGGATAAAGATTGGGCTGGTTTAACCCCTAGAAACAGCTGACCTGACAAGGGTTAACTCTTGAATCCAAGGCTGATGAAGACGCCCTGAATGTGGGTCTCAGTGAGGAGGCCTAGGAAATCTATTGAGCCTCAGGTAGTAGATCAGTATTCATCCCGATTATACACATGCACTTTGGACTCCCATCCAACAATGTGAGATGCAATCTCACCCTGGACTCTTGGGGGAGCATCTGGGCCCTGCCCGGGATGAATGACAGACTGTGGACACCCCATGGAGGGCAACAACCTACCTGGCAAAACTAGGGGATATTGGGGAGGTTGGAGGGAGGGCACAGGAGGAGGGAAGGGAAACGGAGAGGGGCCTGGACTGACTTGTGAAGCAACCTTGTTTCTAATATAAATTTAAACTTAAAAATAAATAATGATAAAAATATGAGCAAAGGAGTCAAGAAACCCACAGAATCAACTGAGAGATCACTGACTTGGGTCTGACAAAAGGGAATCTGCATAAGACCAAACTAGACAATGGTTTGACTGGGAAAATACATGAGGCCACAGGCAGTGTGTCCAAGACCTAACGCTAATGCATAAAACTAGTGGAGCCTATTGTGTATGCAGAAATACCTTGCCCAGCCTGCACACTGGGGTATGGAGGTGGTAAGGTACCTTGGTCCTGCCTTAACATAATTATGTGAAAGACTTAGTACACTTCTAGGGGAGGCCTTTCACTCTCGTTGAAGCAGAATAAAGGATAGGGGGAATTAAGTGAGTGGGAGGAAAGGATGTATGGGTAACTGGGATTGCTTTCTTGTGCAATTTAGGATATACTGAGAGTCTGAGGATAATAAACAGGGAATGAAATGAACTGCATAACAAAACAAACCAGGAAAAAAATAAAATTTAAGGTAAAACTAGAATGAGAACTTTGAGCAGTAAACACTGCAGGACATACTTTGAAGCAAACCTTCCTCAATATCAGAAATACAAACAGAAGGACTCTTCTGTCTATTGTAAGGGTCCAGCCGAGAATGATTTAGAACTAAGCATTTCAAAAAGAACAGTTCTTCTGTATTTAAAGTAAAAGATATAGAAATATGTGGTCAGGATGTCAGAGCTCACCATCCTGTGGGTCCTACTCTGACAGTGCACACAGACAGGAAACTAACTGGGCTGAGGCCATATCAACATCATGACCACAGAGGACACTGCCTTCCTGTATGTCCGTGAGTCCTGAAATGAAAGTAGATTAACAAGAAAGCAGGCTTCCCACAAAAGCTAGACCCTCTATTAACATGAACACTAGCTAATTTTACTAGAACCCAAGGAGAGTCTAATCTCCTTAGCATTCTGTTGAGGAGGTTGTAACTGGGTCTTAAGCTTAGACCTTGGGTAACACTATTGAATCCATGACTTATGGTCCGGGTTTCATGTTGACTGCTGGAATTCTGGAAAGGAGAGACAGAAGGCCATAAAACTTAACGGTGACTCTCAATACTGTGCTTATTTGGAGGGGAACGTTGCTTTTGGATATACAGACCAACGAGAGCTAGAAATAGATAAAAGAAAGGAGAGACAGACAGGCAAAAATAGATGGCCTACAATGGACAGGCAGAGAGTAGCGAGGCAGAAGTGTAGACAGGTCTTCCAGGGTAGCAGGTGTCTGGGAAGAGGAATGTAGAGAGTGAGTTGCCAAGGAGATGTCATGCAGCAACCAGAAAGGTGGAACAACAAAGTATTCTCCACTAAGCCAAGGCTATGTGGAGATGTATGGATTAATAAAAATGGGTTATGCTGGGTGTTTGTGGCTCACACATTTAATCCCAGCACTTGGGAGGCAGAGGCAGGCAGATCATTGTGAGTTCTAGACCAACCTGGTCTACAGAGCGAGTTCCAGGACAGTCTCCAAAGCAACAGAGAAACCGTCTTGAAAAACAAAAAAAGGGGTTAATAATTAAGAGAGAGCTAGCCAATAAGAAACCTGAGATATTGGCCAAACAGTCAGTTTATAATTTAAAAAATAAATGGCCTATAGAGCAAATATAATTGATAAATACATTATTGAAATGTAGTTTGATAATTACCAATACATAAATGACTGAATGGCAGATTTGTAAATAGATTGAAGATGATAAATAAAACATGATCAACTGATAAAAATAGTTCTATAGGTAGGTACAGAGACATGATATATGGATAACGTTTCAATCAATGAGCCATCTCCCCAATAGCTCAGGAATTTTTTTAAAACAATTCACTGTGAGACACTGCAAGGATAATTACTAGGAAGCTATTGCTGGTGATTCAGCATTTAGGAAGATGAATGTTTGAGAACTTGTGTAGTCTCTTCATGTCCTGCATGACACAGTAACTCTAAGGATGGAAGCATGGCACATAAATATTAGGTAGATAACAGCTGTCTAAGTGGACTGAAGACTGACTCAAAAACAAGGAAATATTGCCTGGTTCTGGAAATCTAGCAAGCTATCCAAAGCTAGTGAGGTCATTGATTTTGGAGAAATCTACAACTGCCACTTTACTAAATAAGTGTAATTCCAAATTCCATTTCAAATATCTAAATATTTTCCTTGTATCCACAGACAAAAGTAGTTCTCATACCAAAAAGAAACTTCAGTTAGTCTCAAACACCATTACAAAAACTGATACCAATAAAAATACAGAGAACAAGAATTATGCAGTGTCCAACCCATCTACAACAAACGCCTGCACCTATGGCTGTGAGAACATCATACAAGAAGGGGTGGGAGGATTGTAAGAACCAGAGGAAAAGGAAGTATGCTGTGAGATCATAATCTCCTAGTATTGTGGTCAACTCTAAAATTAGATACATAGGAATAGCATTATGCAGATTAATCAGATTGTGTTTATACTTAAGAATAAATGTGTGTAGATACATAGAGGTGATCAAAGATAAAGATGTATTTGATGAACAAAAGAGCCATACAGAAGAGACTGAATGATGTAAAAATTAAAAGAAATTTTATAAATGTAATTTATTTGAAAAACATATATAATTAAAAAGTTTAAGTTTAAAATATAGAGTAATATATAGGAAAAAAGGATAACAATTCAATAAAATACAGAAGAAAATCACTGCATGTGTATATTACACTCCCTGAGTTTGTGCAGTCAGCGGTTATTCCTGTTTCAAGTGTCCCTATTTAATTGTAGTGTTTTTTCAAGTTCTAGCTCTCTGATTCTTCCTTAAATACATCATAATATTGGTGATTCTTATCTAGGTTAAATGTCTTATATTTAATGTGTCCTACTGAATTAAAAAATAAGTGCTATATAGTCAAGAACCCACCTTGTAAAATATAATATTTGAAAATGCAAAAAAACAGCTTGTAAAATTGCACCTATCAAATATTCTCAGATATTCCTATGTCAACCACTCAACTATGAGAGGAAATAAAGTGAAATAATAAATATATGTCTGGAATTTTTGGTAAATAATGTTAAGTATATAGAGCTGGAAAGATCACACAGTGGGTAAGAGTGTGTTCTTTATTGCAGAGGACTCAATGTTAGTTCCCAATACCTGCACCAGAGGCAAACAACTGACTGTCACTACAGCTCCAGGGGACACAATCAATGCCCACTTTGGGCCTTACAACTCACCAAAACTAACATGTACATAAGCATATAGACATAGACATATTTGCACATATTTTAAAATGAAAAATTTCAAAGAATCAGAATGCTAGGTCTTGAAATAAATTTCAGTTAAAGCAAAACCCACTTACTTTATGTTTTTAGTTTTGAAAAGAATTGGAATTTTATTATTCTAAAAAAGTACACAATTAATCACATAAGAAATTGAATAATTATGCCCTGACACTGGATTATCACACCATAATAATTTTAATTGACATACTAGTATTCATGTTATAACATAAATAATCATTGGATACGTTGCACAGAAAGCCAATACATGCATTGAGACTCAGATTTTAAAAAGCAAAAATATGCAAATATTTAGCATAACAATCAAATTTGAATATTTGGAATAAAAGGTGTTGGGTCCAGTACTCAACCCAGTTATAGTCATGGTGAATGCTGTGTCTGAAGAACTTAGGTGTGAAGACTTTCCAAGAAGCTTTGGACCTCTAATGCCTTAGTAAAAGGATGAGCATATTTGATGCCTCCCATGGGAAAACACACCCTTAAAACAAGCATATGTGGGGCACTCTATGGTAGACCATTGAAGTCAAAGCCAGCCTGGACCTTCCAGGCTAGCCAGGGCTCCAGAGAAACCCTGTGTGGAAAAGGGTCCATAAACATGTGGCGAGAGCGGATGTGCTCTGATGCTCAGCTTTCCGTGCTGTGGTCAAGTAGACGCTTTAGCCTCTCAGGACATCCTGTAAGTTTTTATTCTGACTCTGCCTCTTGTCAGCTGAAGCAGCACGATGCTGTCTGTGCCCCTAAACATTTTGTGCACTGGTGAGTCCTGCTGGGAATGAAGGGTGTGGAATACCAAGGTGAATATATCATCTAGGGAGGCTGGATTCATCCACAGCAGAAACACTGGATTCCATGGTGGGGTTGGTGCATGAGTTCACCTTACCTTAAGTGATCTCTGATTCTGCTGTTCAGAGGTTCTACAGCGATGGGGAGGTCAGATCACCAGGTTATTGGAAGGAGATAGATCACCCATCATGAATTTTTCTTTCCAGGCTTATTCCTAGTCCAGGGGACATTGGTACAAGAAGGTGAGTCCATCCTTAAAACCTTGAGTTATACTACCCATTGCAATAGATAGGCTGGGTAATAGCAGAAGAGCAGATATTATGGGTGTTAGCTGGTGGCTTATGTGAGTGATTTGTTGGTGAGTCTTCTGAACTTCAAAGTTAGGAACCTGCAAGACTCTCTCTCCCTTCTCTCCCAGACCATCCCAGACTCCGCCCCTGGCTGAGTTAGACATCAACTTTGGTCAGAGAAACATTATTTCGGTTTTTCAAGACAAGGCTTCTCTGTGCAGCTCTAACTATTCTAGAACTCACTATTTAGAGCAGGCTGCCCATGGACTCTGCTTCTGTAACCCAAATGCTAAGACTAAAAGAGTGGGTCATAACACCTGGAGGATAATCAGTATTTTAAATAAAACATGCTCCTCCCCTTTGCTATACTCTTGCCTGACAACCTGCAAATATTTTGAGAGGATTTTGATAATATAATTTATGATTTCTTAAGTTTCTTTGTCACTTGACAAACCACTGACATTGTTATTTTTGCCTTCAAACATCAACGCTGCAGACATAATTTGTTTATCACCAGAGAACCATTTTTCCTTTTTCTACAAGATATTTCATGTAGCTTATTATCAACCTTCCCTTCCAGAGTGAAGTATGTATCATTTCTTGTGCTTATAGTGAACTCTATCTGGGACTGTTTTCTGAGAAATTAATTATCTCCATTTCTGATGGACAGTGTTGCTGACATTTATAGTCAGGTTTTCCTTTTTATCACTCACTTTATTGAATGCATCCTCCCGGGCTATTGTGTCCTTAGGTCTTTGCTCAGAGTCAGCTGTTAGATGTCCTGGAAGTCTCTTTTGTGTCCTTTGCTTCTCTTGTCATCCTGAACCCAGGAACTCTTACAATAATAATGTACTCTGTGATCATGACTACGTGGGGTGAATTTGCTTTGTGTCATTTGACCCTCTTAGATCTGACCATATTCATTATATTACAAGTTTCAACGGTGTTATATAGATATAGATATATATAGATAGATATAGATATAGATATAGATATAGATATATAGATATATATATTTCCAACTCTAGGGGATTTTTTGCTTATTCTTATTATCTCTCTTATTTCTGTCTTCTTGTTATTTTACTAATTCAGAATTTTATATGATGTATTTTTTACTTTATCATTTTTATTTTAATTTTAAATAGATTGTTTTACATGTCAATCCCAGTTCGCTCTCCCTCCCCTCCTACCGCACTCCCCTTCCCCCCCAGCCTCCTACCCTATTGCCAAATTCTTCCACATAGGGTATATCTAGAGTCTGTCATTTCACTCTGGGTAGGGTCTAGGCACTCCCCTAAGAGTCCAGGCTGAGAGAGCATCCCTCTTTGTGCTATGGGAACACGATGACTGTTTGTATTCCAGGGATAGACACTGATCCACAGCTCAGGGCCCCATAGGTTGCCCAGGCCTTCTCGCTGACACTCACATTTGGGGAGTCCAGATCAGTCCCATGCTGGCCTCTCCGCTGTCAGTCTGGGGTCCAAGAGCTGTCCCCTGTTCAGATCAGCTGTCTCTGCTGGTTTTACCAGCCCATTCTTTGCCAATTTGCTCATCACTCCTCTCTCTGTCACTGGGTTCCTTAGGTTCAGTTCAGTGCTTAATTGTGTGTTTGCCTCTGCTTCCATTAATCACTGGATGAAGGCTCCTGGATGGCTATAGACATCAAGTTCATTATCAGGAATGGGCAATCGAGGTGGTCTCTCCACTATTGCTTAGCTTGCCAATTGGTGTTATCCCTTTAGATCACTCGAGGTCACTCTGGTGCCTGATCTGTCTTCTAACTTATGATTCCCTCTTCCCCCTATTCTGCTCCCACCCACTCAACTTCCTGTTCCCCCATGATCTACTCTCTCTTCCTCTTCTCCCCATCTCTTCTTCCCAGCTCCCACTCCCCCCCACCCCTCGCCGTGTTCCCCATCCATTCACAGGATCTTGTCTCAATCCTCTTCTTTTGGGTACTATGCATATATGCATATCTTTTAGGTTCTTTCCTGTTTCCCAGACTCTCTATCAGTGGAAGTACAGACTGGCACTATCCTGATCCATGTCTAAAATCCATATATGAGTGAGTACATACCATGTTTGTCTTTTGTGACTGGGTTACCTCACTCAGGATGGTTTCTTCCAGTGCTATCCATTTACCTGCAAATTTCAAGATTCCATTGTTTTTTTCTGCTGAGTAATACTCCATTGTGTAAATGTACCACATTTTCTCTATCCACTCTTCAGTTGAGGGGCATCTAGGTTTCTTCCAGGTTCTGGCTATTACAAATAATGCTGCTATGAACATAGTGGAGCAGATGCCCTTGTTGTATGAATTTGCCACATTTGGATATATGCCTAAGAGTGGAATTGCTGGGTCTTGTGGTAGATTAATTCCCATTTTCCTGAGGAATTTCCAAAGAGGCTGTACGAATTGGCACTCCCACCAGCAGTGCAGTAGTGTTCCCCTCTCTCCACATCCTCTCCAGCATAAATTGTCTTCGGTGTTTTCGGTTTTAGCCATTCTGACAGGAGTAAGATGGTATCTCAGAGTTGTTTTGATTTGCATTTCCCTGATGGCTAAGGATGTTGAGCACTTTCTTATGTGTCTCTTGGCCATTTTAGCCTCCTCTATTGAGAATTCTCTATTTAGTTCTGTACCCCACTTTTAATTGGATCCTTTGGTGTTTTGGAGACTTGTTTCTTGAGTTCTTTGTAAATTTTGGAGATTAGCCCTCTGTCAGATGTAGGGTTAATGAATATCTTTTCCCATTCTGTGGACTGCCTTTTTGTCTTGTTGACTGTGTCTTTTGCCTTACAGAAGCTTTTTAGGTTCAGGAGGTCCCATTTGTTAATTGCCGATATCAGTGTCTGTGCAGCTGGTGTTATATTTATGAAGTGGTCTCCTGTACCAACTCGTTGAAGAGTTTCTCCCACTTTCTCTTCTAAAAGTTTCAGTGTGGTTGGACTTATGTTGAGATCTTTGATCCATTTGGACTTAAGTTTTGTACAAGGCGATAAACATGGATCTATCTGCAGTCTTCTGCATACCAGTACTCAGATATCTCATCTTGGAATTCAGAAGACCCAGTAGCTTACTGTTTTTATAGAGCAGGTATGCGATGAATTTTAGCTTCCTAGTACTTATGTATGCTTACCTATTGATTGACCTGAGCTTTTCATCTTCTCACATTGAAACAGGGATGTTTCAATTCAGAGAAAATTGTTGTTCTAAAGCTACCTGCAGAATTAATAATTGGAAGCTCAACTCTCAGGAATGAAGGGAGATCATTAAATTATTTTCTGTATGATTTCTCCAGGAAGTTATCACAAATATTTACTGACTGCCTGGCCAAGCCCTGTTGTTGCACTGGGACAGCATGTGGAGCTTCGATGTGACTCTCATAGAGAGTCTGACTTGTTCCAGCTGTACAAGGAACTTGGAGATTTTATTCCTCAGGTCCATGAAAGAATATTCCAGAAGAGCATGCTCTTGGGCCCTGTGACACCAGCACATGGAGGAACCTACAGATGCTATAATCACTATCATCAGAACCCTAATGACCTCTCATTACACAGTAACCCTTTGAAAATCATAATCTCAGGTCAGCAATCATGTTGGAAGTGTCATTTCATTCCCACAAGTCTCCTCATGCTAGAATTTTCAGAACCGGTTTTAGTCAGAGTCTCAGTATTATAAAGGAATATTCAACACAGAAAATTAGATAGTATGGTGGGCATAGCATAAACCCAAGGACATGCTCTTTCCATTCCTAAGACTTCATGGGTGTTAAGGAAGAGGTAAGAAGGGTCAAGTCAGGGAAAAAGTGGACCTGAAAGGGGAATTCAGGTACTAACAGGACAACACCAGGATGGGAGAATGTGCTGATTTGTTCTGGGTCAGCAGAATCACCAGAGTTCATATAACAATATAAGGAAATTTCCTTAGTGGGAGAACTAAGAATAATGGGGGATACACCCTGTTGCTAATTCTGGGAATGGAAAAATGACCAAAGTGCCGAAGAATGAATGAGGTCTCTGGAAGCTGAAAGGCAAAAAGCAATGAACACTTGTCTAGGAAATTTTCTAAGTAACATGTCACTGCCTATACCTGATTTATACTATTTGGCTTGTTTCAGAATTCGGATGTCCCTTGTACCCTTTTTAAAAATCACATTTGTGATAGTTTGTTATGGTACTGACTAGAAACTAATACAGGAATCTTTGTCAAGGGCAAATTACGAACCAGGAAAGGACTGCACAGAGAGCAGTAAAGTCAGGGTGGTAACGAATCATGTTGTCAGGAAACAAATCTGATGTGTCCGATCACGAATGCCTTACAGAACTTTGATCCATAGAGAAGGCCAGAAGAGTTTCACTGGTACCTACCTTCACTCTTAAATCTTTTAGCATACCATGGTTTTTATTTATTCCAAAATAGCATTAAAAAGACACATGAATGAACGTGGCATAAATCTTTCCATACTATCTGCATTCCTCAAATATTAAAAGGGGCAATAGTGGCTATTGTAGACAGATTCAGAAGAAATATTCTCACAGCAAGTCAATGGGAAAATATTGTGCTGCTGCCAAAGCCAAATAAGCAGAAAATCGTCAGAGAAAGAAGGAGGAGTCTGTGTACACAGAAAAGGACACTGGAACACTGACAAGAAGGACACATTAACGGGGAATGCATAGGTTTTCAGGGATACATAGACTGGAGTCATGTTCAACCTTGCAATCTCTTTATTTCTAGGAATCTACAGGAAGCCTTTCCTCTTTGTCCCACATACTTACCTGGTAAATTCAGGAGAGAAGATGACCCTGAAGTGTCACTCACAGATTGTGTTTGACATCTTCATTTTGACTTTACAAAGTAACAAAATAATCAATGAATCCTTCCAGCATTCTGCAGAATCCCATCGTGGGGGGTCCCATGCCAGCTTCTCAATAGGACCCACAACACCTGCTCACGCTGGGACTTACACCTGTTATGGTTCTTACAATCACACACCATATGAGTGGTCTGAATCCAGTGACCCTGTTGACATAGTGATCACAGGTAAGAGGGTATCACCTGATCATCATCCTCTCTGTGATGCAGAGCAGTTATTCTATAGAAATACTGGGAAGTCATAGGGAAGATGACTGTGGGGATCAGAAAGGTAGCCTTCAAGAGTACATTACTGACATAGACAATGAAAGTGTAGACACAAGGACAAATCATTCGTTTTAATGTAAATCACTGATACAGGTAGATAAAAGGAATCTTAACTAGAGGTAAAGAGAAAGGGTGACTTCATGAGCTTGATAAGAATCAGAGACAATGAAGTCCTTTTGCTAGTTTTCAGTATCCAAAACAGGTCACAATTTTGTTTGCTTCTACCTCTAAAAGACATCTGCTAGAGACAAATTGACATCATGTGTGACCTGAATGTATGTGCTGAATTGGACTGGTTCTACATGAGTCCTTAGGTGTTGGTACAGTTTGCACACACAGAGTTTCTTTCTAGGTTGACAGTTCTTCCATTCTTGTGTTTGACCAATTATTTATGAAAGAATAGCATAACCCTGGGTCATTGAGTAGAGCACCAATCATTGTCTCTTCTTTACATCTCCAAACAGTTGAAAATCCATGTTCCAAAATTATTCAGACATTCCAGATGGAGGAAAAACATCCTATAGTGGTTTCCCCTGGGATTGGCTTACAAATGTATTGCAGAGATACGGAAAAATATACAAATAGTAAGGCAGACAGGGAGACTGCAAGAAAGACTTGGAGACAGGAAAAGCTGAGGAAATACTAAGCATGGCATATGTGGGAAGGAAAGACTTGCAAAAAGCCTTAAGCTTGAATGGAAGATTTGAAATTAGAGATGGGCAAATAATGGCAATTATTGGATATTTCAAAGCAAAGATAGGGAAACAGATGACAGATTACATCTGAGAAGTACACACACTAAGAGGAACAAGGGAAGGAAGACCATCATGGGCCCTGTTCTTGGGAAACATACACGTTCATGGAATATCCTGTGCTTTGAAAAGAGACATTCACTAGCATAGATGTGAACGAAAAAGAGACAAGTTAGAAAATGAATGACTTGGAAGTAAGATTCTAGATTTTTAATATACATAGGATGGGGGAGCTATAAGTCATCGAATAGGAAACTGATCAGGAAGGGAAGGAGATTAACATGGAGGGGTGTTGAAAGAGGTGGGATAGATATGCCAAGAAAGAGAGAATGAAGCATGGAGTAAGGACCAGCAAAGGTGGTACAATGGAGGGGATTCAGAACCAACCATTGTACTGCTCTGCACACCCTTTTCCTGCTTCTAAATTTGCCCTTGACATGGATTCCTGTTCTGGTTTCCAATAACTACCGTAAAAAATTACCATGAGCAAAATGATGTGAATGAGGATCTCTTAATGAAGTCATTTACTTTGTATGCTAATTTAAAAAAATAAATATCTCTAACTAAACACACCGATTGGCAAAACATCTGGATGGAATGAAAGGATAAAGAAGAAAAATTGGGTAAAGGAGTGAAATCAGTTGAGGTTGATGGACAAGAGGGAATAATAGCATAATATGATCAAGATTAAACATATAAATACATATGTCACAACACTTAAAGAAAATGAGGCCATAAAATGATGCAACTTGACTTTAATTTCAAAATTTTAATAAAAAACATAAAAATACATTATATATATAAGTTTATATTTCATAATGAATCCAACTGCTGTATAAATCTAATATATATTAATAAAAACAAACTTAGGCAGGTGGAATGAACCAATGCATATAGGGCCAGAAACTGTCAAAAAACAAAACTGTGGTAAAATGCATGGTTACAGAACTGTGGTCAGAGACCAGGTAAGATTGAAGGAAAGAGGGAGAGGAAGAGATGGGGAGGTAGGAAAAGGAGAGGTAAGGATGGGGCAGAGAGAGAGAGGGATCACAGCAATGTAAACATGGAGAGAGAACTCTGAGACGTTAATGAAACCGGTAAGGAAGTGCCCCCTAATTGTCTCTGCTCTTTCCTTCCAGGTTTACACAGGAAACCTTCTCTGGCAGTCCTGATGGGCCCCGTGGTGATGTCAGGAGAGAACATGACCTTGGCTTGCATCTCTGATCATCAGTTTGATATGTTCCATCTGTCCAGGGAGCAGGTGCCTCAGGGACATGGGCTGCCTGCCATGCAGAGTCACAATGGGACATTCCAGGCCAATTTCATTCTTGGGCCTGTGATCCAGAAAGGGAACTATAGATGCTATGGCTCTTTCAGAAACTCCTCCTTTGTGTGGTCATCCCCAAGTGACCCCTTGTACCTTCCTGTTTCAGGTAAGAGAGTCTCATATATACCTCGTGTTTTGTGAGTAATTAAATCCTAAAGTGAATTCTGAGAAGCATCTGATGATAGAGAAAAAGTATCTTAGGCAACTACAGAGAAGGATTATCTGGAGTCATATATATACATATATCTATACATGTATATATGTGAGTGTATATACACACTTAGCAATGTTACTCAAGGAAAAAGAGGCTTACAACTTAAGGGAGTGTGTAGAAAAGCTTGGGGGAAGTTTACCTGGAAGGGGCTGGAGAGATGAAAGGGAGAAAGAAAGAGATAATTAAATTTCAGTGAAGTTTTTTTAAAGGATGTCAAGTTTGAGAATGTATGTCAGATTATAAAACAATAGACAAGAAGCCTCACAAACAATCTTTATCCTAGTTGGCCAGCCACACTGGGGCGTGTATGTACCCAGGGAAAATAAGAAACAGGTCAGGACAGACTCATTAGGTATAAGCTTGCAATCTGTTTGGTCATATCAGAGACAGAGCAGTACTCCTGATCTCTCCCTCACATAGATCTCTCCACAGCATTCCTATTGACTCATCACAACTAGAAATCAACACCTCAAAGCAAAATATCTAGTTGCATCCTATGACTCTGAATGGGCAGCACTAAGAGATGGAGTGGATGCTGCTTAGTGTCCAAATTCAAAGGACTTTCCATACAGGGAAGCCAGATAGGCTTTTGATAAACTTTCTCCCTCTCTTCTCTCCTTTCTAGTAAATTCATCAGGAAACTGCACTTTGTGTACAGAATCAGAGTCCAAAACTTGTGAGTAATTGATTCCTCTTCTCTGTTGTAGAAACTTGGGTACAAAAGCTCTTGGGTTCATGTTTGGGCTCAGGTCCCTCACAGCTCAGTTGTCTTAAGATAATCATCTTTTTCCTCTTTGATTCTTAAATTCTGAAACATCAGAAGATTTTTAAGAGACGTGTGGGAACTATACCTGAAAACTCCTACATGTGAAAAGGAGAGTAACTTTCACTCCCTTCCCAGGAAAAAATGAACTGCTCATTCTAGCTGTGCTCCTTCTGGAGAGGAGATAATGGGGCATGAAAAAGGGTGCAAGGAAGCAGAAGAAAAGATTTTATACAAATATTACCTGTAATGGAATAGACTTGACTTTGATTTCTCACTTTGGGGAAATTTGGGTGTTTTAGACTTGGAAGTTGCTAAGCAGATTAACTGGGCAATGGTATCAAGCTCAGATTGGGACACTGATTACACAACCTGCAGTTTTCTGCCACTGGCAGAATGTCCATATATTCTTGGACATGTGGACTTCTGCTTAAGCATGGTCATCTCACTAGTGACAATGCTCCTAAAACTGATACTCATTCTCCCAACACTTAGAAATTGCCTATAGCCGCTTGACAAGGGGCAGGACTTCATGTCCATCTCCACTCTCCATGCTGGGTATTTCCTTAGCTTGATCTTGTATTGTTCTTGGGTATGCTATGACATCTTCTTACGAAGTTCACATACTTGACTGCCCTTGGTGAACAGAACACAGTTTCCTTATACTTATCCATGGCTTATTTTTGTAATCTCTTCTTTCATCTCTTTCACAATGATGCTGAATATTTGGAGAGGGATATGAGATGTAATCATCTCATTTAGAGCCAAGAATTCTATAGTCTCTTATTCCCCACAACTTGCCCTGTTGCGGACATCTGTATTAATCACCATCTATCACATATATAAACTCCTATGCTAAAAGTTGAGAAATGTATTAACATATGGATATAACCATAAGTCATGAGGAGTCACTATTTCCATTGAGCAGAATATTATTAATAGGTTATCCATATAGAATCGGCATCAATCATCCTTTAATCAATAAATATTATACAATCTATCAAAATGAGGATCCTAAGATTTACCTCTTCTGGGTTGCTATCTTCCCCCAGATAACCACAGGAACCTGCGTGTTGTGATTGGGCTTTCCATAACCATGGTCCTCGTGCTCCTCCTCATCATCCTCCTTTACTCTTGCTGCTATGCCAAAAAGAGTAAGTCCCAGGAACAAGCCAGTGAGTGTCATCTGTGTAGTGTGAGAATCCAAGACTGGAGAAATACAGGTGTGTGTTCTTCATTTAGTAAAAGACACTTGGGCCAACAGGGAAAACTGAGGTAGGGATTTCTAGAGAGGAACCAGAGCCCATGCTTCTCCCTTCACCTCTCAGGCCTCTGACTAATTCCTCAATGCATCCTCTGCATATTTACATCCAAAGCATGCACTAACATACAGAAGAAGGTTTTATAAGAGAGATGTGGAGGGAAGGGATGGAGGGAGAAAGAATTACTAGGGTGCAGCATGTGTAGGGCAGGGCTGTAAATACAGAGTAACATAATTGAATCTAATTTGCCAATGGTGAACAACCTTGGGCTTCAGCATATTTCTCACTAGTGCTTTGGATTTGAAATAATGAGAGTGAAGAAGTACTTTATTCTATGTGTTTGTTTATTTCTGTCCCCTAAAAATGCAGCCAACAGGGATCAAGAGTCAAAGACGAGAACAACACTGAATAGACAGGTAGGACCTCCTGAGTCTGCCCTCTTCCATACAGTAGAATATCCCTTTGTTCTCTGCAAGATCATGTGCATACAAAATCGCTAAACATTTACCTCTTTCTAGGACCCTGAAAGAGAAGAAGGGCAGGAGGTGACATACTTAGAATTCGATCAGAGGACCTTCAAACAAAAATTGACCACTCCCATTTCCCAGATTCCCAAGGAATTTTCCACAGATCCCAGTGTCTACATGGAAATCAGGAAATGATAAACTGAGATGAAATACATTCTTTGCCCCATGAGTCCTCAAAGAAATACCTGAGGAAGTTTTCTGTGTAGACCACAGCCCTTTCTCCAGTGAAGACTGATAGATGCGGTGAAATCAGAGCTGAAATCTGAAGACAGAGTCTCTAACTTTGGGACCACCCTTCATTATTCTAATACGGTTCTCAACGTGGCTTTCCCTTATGTGCAAATGTTATGCTCCTCACTAGGCACTCAACAGAAATCAAACTCTATTTCATTTCACTCTAGCAGACCTCTGCAACCTCACTAGCTATAAATTCGAGGCGCATTTAAACTTTAACTGCAAGTATTATATCTCTGAAGGGAAAGGCATCCTTAATGTTGAGAGCCAGGCTGTACCTACAGCTGTGAAGGAAAGTTATCCTGGACACCTGTACCTGTGAAGGGAACCAGGCTGTACCTACAACTCTGAAGAGAAAGGCATCCTGTTGAGTCTCAGGCTATACCAATAGTTGTGAAGGGAAGATATCCTGGACATCTATAGCTGTGAAAAGAAAGGTATCCTGACTGTATGGAGCCAGGATATACCTATAACTCTGTAGAGAAAGGTATCCTAACTGTCAGTATCCAGGCTATACCTATACCTGTGGAGGTAATGTGTCCTGGTTACCTATAGCTGTGTAGGATAAGGTTTCCTGACTGTTGGGGTCCAGGTTATCCATATAACTTTGAGGAGAAGGTATCCTGATTCTCAGAAGCAAGGCGATCCCTATAGCTGTGTTCTGTGGTGATCCTGCTCCTTCCTGAGACAGCCTTTACAGACCAGCTCTGCTCTGCTCCACTAAGGGAGTTTCCCAGCACAGATGTCCATTGTTTATCTGCTCTGGCAAAAGTTGTTATTGCTCTACTTCACTCTGCTAAGGGGAAACCCCCACACACAGAAATGTCCCAGTTTGATCCAGCTCTGACAAACACTGTTACTTTTCTGCTCCACTCTCCCATCAGAGATGCCCACTGCTTCTCTGCTCTGCTCCACTCCAGAAAAAGAATGTCTTCACCAAAAACTCATTCAAGTGATTTATTGAGAGGGAGAAATTCAGAAGAGTGACTGCCTCTGCCAGGGTGGAAAAAGGTAGCTCCCAACTAAACAGGCACAGGGCTTTTATAGAACTTCTTATGGGCAGAGTTTTCCAGGGAGGAGAGCTTGAGGGTTGGAATTGATAGAGTTTGCAGCCCTGAGCTTGAACAAACTCAGAGATTGACTGGATTTTGTGCTCAGGAATTATTTGGTTTTGTGCTCAAGAACTGATTGGGTTTCCTGCTGAGGGATTGGTTGGTGTTTGTACTGAGGTAGTCAGGGACAGAGTGTGTTCCTTTACTCTGGATTGAGAGCCAAAGTGTGTTTCTTTTACCCAACCTTTTTAAACTTTAGTTCTGGTTTCAGGGCCAAAGTATGCTTCTCTGGCTCTGGTTTCAAGGAACAGAGTGTGTTTCTTTTGCTGGCCTTTTGCCCTACAGTAACCATGATGAGTATTTCACAACTCCATATCAATAAGAAGATCACCTTTTTAATAGTGTATATGTCTAGTAGATAGTAGTTGTATAACATACTGGGTCTCATGACAGTTTCTTACATGTATATGCATTTTAATCATATTCACACCCCATTACCCTTCTTTACTTTCTAACACTCCTGATGATATCATTCAAGAAGACCACACTTAACACTGGGCATTATCATATGCTGTTCTGTGTACCCCTAATGCTGTTTTTCAAAGTTTCTCTCACGAGGAGATCTACATATTTCTTTAATATATCAATATTGACTTCCCCTATGTAAAGAAGCATTTTCTACAATGAAGTAGAAGTGAGATATTGCCTCCTTAACACATGTTTCCTTTACTATGCTGTTGAAAAGTTACTTCATCTGAATTGAAGCCTTGTCTTTTGGAAGAGAACTCATTAAGTCTCAGCAAGTAAACAATACCTCATGAGTCTCAGAAACATCCTAAAACATACAACACTGACAAGGACCCTCCCCAAGGTTCTATGAGCAATAAAAACAGTTAAGAAGAAGAAATCCTCCCATTAAGTAAGCTGCCAGCAACTCATTGAGATATGCCCAGGGACACAGCTTTTATGAGTCATCATCCATGTTGGCATGGGCTTTTGGGGGCACAGCCACCTTGAGTCACTCATGCTCCAATATATATCCACTAATCTAGGATCCTGTAATTAATCCTAATAAACTCATTAATCCAATGAAGTATGCCTCAGTGAATCACTTTTCTGGCCTGTCATTGGTGCCCTTTCTGGGATCAACAGATGTTTGCTAATACCTCCTGAGAAAGTCACACAATCTATAGACACACTACCAAACATCGAATTGTTTAAAACTGATATGTTAAAACTCCACAGGCAAAAGCTAACTGGAGTAAAGGGTTTATTTGGATTGCATACCTTATATAATTCCAGAACAAAATCCACTGAGGGGAGCAAAGTCAGGAAACTGGAGACTGGACCATGGAGATTCACCACACATGTATTGTTCCTTATTCCTTGTTCATCCTGCATTTATACACTTTAGAATGACCTGCCAAGAATTGCTACTACCCACAGTGGTCTAGGCCTTGCCACATCAACCATGAATCAAGAACATGCCCAACAAACTTGCCTATAGGCAATCACATGAATAAATTTTGTCATTTCAGAGTCCCACTTCTCCAATGATTTTCTATTGTGTCAGGTTGACCAAAAAACAACTATTACACTACCCATGTGTACTCTTTTGCATTTTGCTGAATGGACTGTAAGAAGCATCTTTGTTTGTCTATCTGTCTGTTTGCAGTTTTGAAACAGGGTCATGCTAGGTATCTGCCATCTTGTGATCTTCCTGCCTGAGCCTCCCAAATTTTAAGATTACAGAGACTGTGGGCATCCTGCAGATGAAATCTTTTTTTTTTGGTTTTTACGAGACAGGGTTTCTCTGTATTGTTTTGGAGGCTATTGGTCCAGCCTGGCCTCGAACTCACAGAGATCCACCTGCCTCTGCCTCCCGAGTGCTGGGATTAAAGGCGTGCGCCACCAATGCCCGGCTGCAGATGAAATCTTATTTGAAGTCTCTTTAATCTAAGTTCTCTTCCAAGAGTGCAGAAGAGAGATGCATTTAGGTCTAAGTGACAAATTTTTTTCTGCTTTAATAAAAATCAAAGCTCCTCTACCCATCCCAGTCCCAGCATCTGGCCAGCAGGGAAGTCTCCTGCAGGCAGGCTGCTCCAGCACCACACCAGCTACATCAGAGGGCCACAGAGGCACAGCCGCCACCTACACTGGCTGTAGGAATGGGGGAGTGGCTGTTCTCCAGGGTGGACAGCCCCACTATTTAGACCTATTGCAACTGCTCTACCACCATCTGCAGCTGCAATAGAGGTCCCCAGAGGCATCCCCCACCTGTACCAACTGGAGAAAGAGTAGAATCATAGGGCCCTGGAAGCACAGCACCCACCCACACCAATTAGAGGCAGAGGCCATTCTACCACCATCCCCAGCCTCATTAGAGAACCCTGGAAGCACAACCCCCACAAGCAGTGATTGGAGGAAGAGCCCCAACAGCCAGTCAACAGGCAAGACTACGGTGGCCTGGCCATTCCACCACCAGCCCCGGTGGCATCAGAAGCTGCATGGAGGCACAGGCTCTACCTGCACTGACTGGAGGAAAAGTTGACCCCAGGATGTAGACACAACCTGCTCCAACTGGAGGAAGCATCAATGCCAGCATCTATAGTTACCCCAAACCCATATGGGTAAAAGACAGTGTGAGAATGCTGTCAATAACATAAAGAGCAATACTGTACCACCATAACCTAGTGGTTCTGCAGCTTCAAGACTGAGACATCCCAACACAGATGAAGCAGAAGGAAACAATCTTAAAAATAACTTTATGATGATGATAGAGTCCCTTATGGAGGAAATGAAAATTTCCCTTAAAAATGGAGGAAAAGACAAAATAAGGAAGGAAATCAATAAATCCCTTAAAGAAAGTCAAGAAAAAAACAATCAAACAGGTGAAGGAAACAGTTCAAACCTAAAAAATTGAAATAAAGGCGACAAAGAAAGCACAAACTGAGGGAATTCTGGAAATGGAAAATCCGAATAAATGAACACGAACCAGAAATGCAAGCATAGCCAGAAGAATACAAGAGATGGAAGAAGGATTCTCAGTTGTTAAACATAAAACAGAGGAAATATGTGCATCAGTCAAAGAAACTGTACAATCCAACAAATACATGATATAAAACATCCAGGAAATCTTAAAAATAGGGATATCTATTCGTTATGTATAGTGTTGTGTCTGCATGAACACCTGCAGGCCAAAAGAGGGCACCAGATCTCATTACAGATGGTTGTGAGCTACCATACACTTACTGGAAATTGAACTCAGGACCTCTGGAAGGGTAGCCCATGCTCTGAAACACTAAGCCATGTCTAAGGGGTCAATACCAGGCTGGGGAAACCCACAGAAGCTGCTGAGCTGAGCAATTGGGAGCTCACAGACTCCAGACTAACAGTTGGGGAACGAGCATAAGATCAAACCAGGTCCCTTGAATATGGATGTCAGTTGGGAGACCTGGGCAGTCTATGAGGCCACTAGCAGTGGAAACAGTATTTATCCCTAGTGTATGAATGGGCTTTTGGAGACCATTCCCAATGGAGGGTTACTCTCTCAGCCTAGATGCAGTGAGGAAGGCCTCGCTCCTGCCACAAATCATGTGAGAGATTTTGATGATTCCCCCATGGGAGGCTTCACTCTCGCTGAGGAGTGAATGTGGGGTGGGATGGGGAGATGGTGAGGCGAATGAGAGGACAGGAAGGAGAAGGAACTAGGATTGATATGTAAAATAAGATGGTTTTTAATTTAAATAAAATTTTATTTTAAAAAATAATGATAGGGATAAAAGCAGACAAACTCAAAGGAACAGAAAATACATTCAACAAAATCTTAGAGGGAAACTTTCCCAACCTAAAGAAGGATATGTCTATGAAAGTGCAAGAAGCATCTAAACCACCAAATAGACTGAACAAAAAAATGTTCCCTCACCACACGATAATCAAAACGTTAAACATGCAGAATAAAGAAAGAATATTAAGAACTGCAACAGAAGAAGGTCAGGTAACGTGCAAAGGCAGACCTATCAGAATTATGCCCAACCTCTCGATGGAGACTATGAAGGCCAGAAGGTCCAATACAGATATTTTGCAGACATTAAGAGACCATGGATGCCAGCGCAGACTACTATACCCAGCAAAGCTGGAAAGGAGGGAGAAGGAACTGGAATTGGTATGTCAAATAAGATTGTATTTAATTTGAATATAAATTTGATATAAAAAAGAAACAAACTCACCCAGAAGGAGTAGATGACAATACAATACAAAAATCAATGAAAGCAAGAGTTGGTTCTTTAAGAAAATCAACATGATAAACAAATCCTTATCCAACTAACCTAAAAGTAGAGAGAATATTCAAATTAATAAATCAGAAAAGAAAAGGGGACATAGCAACAGACACTGAGGAAATCCAGAGAATCATCAGATCATACTTCAAAAACATGTGCTTCACAAATCTGGAAAACCTACAAAGAAATTACCCGTTTTCTGGATAGCTACCTAATACCAAAACTAAAGTCCAGGCAAACACCTTAGATAGACCTAAACTCTAAGAAAATAGAAGTAATCATTAAAAGTCTCCTAACCAAAAAGAGTCCAGGGCCAGATGATTTCAATGCAAAATTCTATGAGAATTTCAAAGAACTAATACCAATACTCCTCAAATTGTTCCACACAATAGAAGCAAAAGGAATATTGCCAGACTCTTTTTATGAGTCTACAAAGAACTCAAGAAGCAAGTCTCCAAAACACCAAAGGACCCAATTAAAAAGTGGGGAACTGAACTAAATAGAAATTTCTCAAAAGAGGAGTCTACAATGGCTGAGATGCACTTGAGAAAGTGTTCAACATCCCTAGCCATCCAGGAAATGCAAATCAAAACAACTGAGATACCATCTTACTCCTGTCAGAATGGCTAAAATCAAAAACACCAATGACAGTTTATGTTGGATAGGATGTGGAGAAAGGGGAACACTCCTCTACTGCTGGTGGGAGTACCAACTCATACAGTCACTTTGGAAATCGGTATGGAGATTCCTCAGGAAAATGGGAATCAGCCTACCACAAGATCCAGCAATTCCACTCTTAGGCATATACACAGAAGATACACACTCATATATCAAGGGCATCTGTTCCACTATGTTCATAGCAGAATTATTTATAATATCCAGAACCTGGAAACAACCTAGATGCCCCTCAACTGGGTAATGGCTAGGAAAAGTGATACAATTACACAATGGAGCACTACTTAGTGGGAAAAGCAATGGAATCTTGAAATTAACAGGCAAATGGGTGAAACTAAAAGAAACAACCCTGAGTGAGGTAACTCAGTCACAAAAAGACAAACATGGTATGTACTCACTCATATACTGATATTAGACATTGACCAGAGTGTCAAGGCTATGCTGGTGAAACCCATAGAAACAGCTAACCTGAACAAGGGGAAGCTCCTGGACGCCAGATTGACTGCTTAGAAACCAGGCTCCCTGAGCATGGATGTCTGTTAGGCCTTGGCAGTCAGTCTATAGGGCCCCTAGTATTAGAACAGCATTTATACCTAGTATACAAATGGACAATGGGAGTCCATTCCCCCATAGAGGGATACTCTCTCAGCCTAGACACACAGGGGAGGGCTTAGGCCCTGCCCCAAATAATGTGACAGACTTTTATGATATCCCATAGAATGCCTCACCCTTTCTATGGAGCCGAAGAGGTATGGGATAGGGGTTGTTTGGGGCATGGGAGAATGGGAGGGACAGAGAACTGGGATTGTTATATAAAATAAAGATTGTTTCTAATTTAAATTTTAAAAGGAAAAAGCATAAGCTCTTCAAGATACATTAAAGGGAAATACAGAAAACAAAAAAGTGTGGTATTGAACACCTGTATTCCTTGCATTCAGCAAGTTGAAGAAAAAGGAACTAAGTTTGAGCACAGTCTATGCCTCATTAAGTGAGTTCTGGGATACCCTGGCCTGCATAATAAGCCCTGCCAGGAAAAATAAAAAAAAGAAATCTCAGGTTTAAAATGGGGAATTTGAGCACCGCTAGACATTGTGTTGAGGAAAAGCCTCCTTTCATTTGTGAAATTCAAACAGAAGGATTCTTGTTCTCTTCTAAAAGTCCACCCATGACCAGCTGAGAACTTTTCAAAAAGGAACTGTTCCTTGTGCCTTTGGAGCAGAAGATGTAGAAATCCTGTGGTCAGGGACTCAGACCTCACACATCCTGTGAGTCCTACTGTCTCACAAGTATCTGTTGTTTGCAAATGCACACAGACAGGAAGCTAACTGGACTAACGTCATATTAGCACCATGGCTCCCCAGGGCATCACATTCCTGTGTCTTGGTGAGTTATGAAATGAAAGTGGGTTAGCAAGAAAGACAGGACTCCCACAAAAGCTAGACCCTCTCTGAAAATGAAAGCTAGATGATGTTTAGTGGCAGTCAATGATAGTCTAACCTCCTTACCAGACTGTTGAGATGACTGTAACTGGGTCTCAGTTAGAATCTGAGCTGTGGGCCTCGCCTTCCTCTATTCAACCCATGACATACTGTCTGGGTTTCATGATGACTGCTAGGCATCATGAGAGAAGAGACAAAGGGATTGAAAATGTAAGAGTGACCCTCAAGAGTGTGGTTATTTGGGGGGAATATATTCTTACAGATATGCAGCCATACATGTGAAAGCTAGAGCTAGACAGAAGAAATGATACACCATAGATAAAACTAGATGATCTGCAGAAGAAAGGTGATAAATAAATGATTAAAGCTGACTGGAAGATAGATTGATAGATTGCTGATAATAGATAAAAGATAATTAATACATAATAGCTATATGGGTGGGTAGAGAAATGATCAATACTTAAGTACAAACATGCATACATGCATACATATATAATAGACAGGTAATAGATGTTAGAGGGATAAGTAAAAAATTACTATAGATAATTGAGGCAGGTAGATAAATAGACAGGCACACACATACACACAGCTTTACTCCATAACTCATTGCACAGGGAGACCTGTACCACAAGTTGGATACTAGAAGGTTAAATTTCCCCAATGGTTCTCTTCCAGCAGTCTTCCTGGGACACTCCATTTGGGCACAAGGAGGTAAGTGTCCCCTAAGTTGTGTCCTTCATAACACCTTAGATACTAGTCACATAAGCTGTGGAGTAGAATAATGGGAAGATAGTCTGAAGCCCAGGTTAATTTCCGCTCTAGTCCCATTCTAGTGTCTGCTGTTTATCACTGTGTTATCTCATCAAGGGGACTCAAGACCACTCTGGATCTATAATAGCCTTGGATCTGCTAGGTACATGTGTAACAATGACCTGTATTTTACTGAATATTCACAAGAGGAAGTTATGAGTAGTCTTTGCCTAACATCCTCTTGAGTGTTGACTCACTTTTTCTCCAAAACAAAGTCTATTTACTTGACCTATTTAGAGGAAGACAGTCTATCTTTCCTCTATTGTACGCTCATGTACTGTACCGCAATGTTGGGCCCTAAGTAGTACTGAGGGAAGCATCAACCTAAATGAAAGGAAGAGCTAACAGTGTTAAGTTCTGCATACTCTGCTACTCTAACTCTTGTTTTGGCCTCCTAGTACATGTAAAGCCTTCACCTACCATGTCTCTCTCCAGCATCCTTTGTTATTTAAAATTTTTTCATTTTACATACCAACCCCAGTTTCCCTTCCCTCCCCTTCTCCTGCCCCCTACATCCCCCTGATCTCACCCCCATCCAGCCCTTAGAAGGAGGTAAGGCCTCCCTTGGGGAATCAACAAAGTCTGGCATACCAAGTTAAGGCAGGACCAGGCTCCATCCCCCTGCATCATGGTTAAGCAAGGTATCCCACCATGGGGAATAGGCTCCAAAAAGCTAGTTCATGCACTTGGGATAGGTCCTGGTCCCACTGCCAGGAGTCCCACAAATAGATCAAGCCACACAACTGTCACCCACTTTCAGAGGACCTAGTTTGGTCCTGTGCAGGTTCCCTAGATGTCAGTCCAGAGTCAGAGAGCTCCTGCCAGCTCAGGTCAGAAGTCTCCGTGGGTTGTCAAACATGATCTTGACATACCTCCCCTTGCTCATTTTATCCCTCTTCCCTCTCTTCAACTTAACTCCAGGAGCTTGGCCCAGTACTGGATGTAGGTTCTATGATGGTAGGGTAGTCACAAATCTGATTTGTACAGGGGAAGGTTAGTTCAGGCACCTTCTCCACTATTGCTAGGTGTCTGACCTGGGGTCATCCTTGTGGGTTCCTGGGGGTTTCCCTAGCCCCAGGTTTCTTCCTAACCCCATAATGGCGCCCTCTATCAAGGTATCTCTTTCATTGCTCTCCCTCCCCATCCCTCCCCCAACTCAGTCATCTAGTTCCATCCATTTCCCTAGGAATTTCATAACTTCCATTGTTTTTGTAATTTCCATTGTGTAAATGTACATTTTCTTTATCCATTCTTTGGTTCAAGGGCATCTAGGTTGTTCCCATGTTCCGGCAGTTATGAATAATTCCAACATCTTTCTAAAGACTGAGTCATGTATGCTTAACATACAATTCTAGTGGGGTGGAGAGATGACTCAGTGGTTGAGAGTACTGGCTGTTCTTCCAGAGGTCCTTAGTTCAGTGTCTAGCAACCACATGGTGGCGGCTCACAACCATCTGTAATGAGATCTGGTGCCCTCTTTTGGCCTGCAGACATCCATGCAGTCAGAACACTATGCACATAGTGAATAAATATTTTTAAATGTAATTCTAGGTATCTCCCTCGTATAGCTTCTCAGATCTGTCTTAGGTGCAATGTTCTAAGTTCCCTCCCACCTTCTTTGCTGGCCTATATCTACTTCTTCAGAGTGTCTGTCTCTTCTCTTCACTCTCACTCACCTTCATTGAGCCTGTCTTCCACTTTTGCGTTTATGACATCTCAGTCTTTCCTGTAATGGCCCCTTATCTCTGCAGTGCTCCATGCCTCCTATACCCACCTCCTCCATTTCCCTTTCTGGATTTCCACACCAGCCACCCTGTCTCCTTTTCTGTAAGTTGACACTGTTGATCACAGAGCTATTACAAATGTGTATTGGCATCTTAACTGCACACATTTACAGGGTGCAATGCGATGTAACATGCAATGTGTTCACACCACGTGTGCTAATCAAACCAGCTTACTATTTCCATGTGAGTAAATAAAAGTACCACAGTGTGCACGCAGAAGTCATAGGACAAACTTAGATATCTGTCCTTGCTTTTTACTGTAGTAGTATATTGTGTTTATTCACAACATAAATAATAATTAATGAAAACTGCAGTCACCTAGCTACTCTGGAGAGAATTAGCATTTATTAAACTGCTCATTATTCAGCTTCTGCCTGTACCCACTCCCTTATACTACTGAGCTTCTAGTGACAACTATTCAACATTCAGGTCAAATTTATTGTTATCAAAAAATTATTGTTTATTTAATGTTTTATCTACAGGGCAAAATATGATGTCAGGTATGTGTTAAGTACTGCACCAAATGTCTTCTAAATGACTGTTAGGATCAGGTATAAAATTATTCAGCTGTTTAGCTATATGAAATCATGGACTTAGTCATAATACTCATTGTGGGTCTATGGGCAGTTAATGGGTTCTGGGGAAGGGAGGTCATTTTCTTTCCATTAGTGTAGTCTCTGCTAAGTTACCCACATGGCCGTTAAATAACCTCTCCACACATACTCAAGAAACTCTAAAACTGATGGGTCAAAGAAGACATCAAAGTGTGGATTCAGCAACAGAGCGAAAATAGAGGGGACTGGGAGATGATGAATATGGCCAAAATGTGTTGTATAAGGTATTTGAAAATTGAAAAGTATTTTAAAATCACCTTCCTAGACATCATCATATGAGAGTGAGCATACAGTACTCATATTTTTTGTTTCATTTTGTGATGCCAAAGGTCAAACCCAGGAGTTCCTCTATGATAAGAAATGTTCCACCAACTGAGCTGCTCCCATGGAGCAGGCATGTCATGATGAAGGGAACCTGAGGGTTTTCAGTGTTCCAATGTCTATTCCATGTAAACAGTCAAAAACTGAGAATGAGGTCTTCAAGACCAAAAATCACTTGCTCAAGGCTAATCAGAAGTAATGAGGAAAGCAGGGAAGATAATTAACGTTCAGTCTCCCTATGAGGTCCTGGATTCATGACGAGGATCTGCCCATTCTAGGTCACCTGGCCCTGTTCTACAGCACTCTCCATGCCTCTATCAGATCTGTACGTATATACGTATGCATGTATGCATGCATGTATAAAATCTGCACACACATATGCATGCAAGCTCACATACACACACACACACACACACAAAACTATATTACAATTCTGTTTATTTGGGTACTTAGAGACAGGAAATGGATTTGAGGTCTAGATCCTGGCTTAAAGGAAGAGTGCCAAGTTGTGAAACCATTGCAAATGATGATGATGATCATACAACATGATGAAGTAATCAATACAACTAAATTAACACTGACAGTCATGGCATTATTGTGCACATACATAACTCCAATTCTTAGGAGGCAAAAGGATTGGGAATTTGAAACTACATAGCAAACCCCTGTTTCCAATGGTAAATCTCCAATGTATGAAATATACCCCAAAACAACTACTTTCTTTGAGAGAGTGTTCATGTATGTGCAGGTAAGCATGCACATTTGTGTACATATAGCAGATGCAGAACATCACTGTTTTTCCCCTTCCGGTGATATCCACCTTGTTGATTTCTTTTCGCCTTGCTGATTATTTTTCAGTCTTTAATTAAATTTGTTCTTTGGCAAGTTCATACATGTATATAGTGAGTTCTTATTGCCAACATCCCCTACCTTCTCTTACTTCCTTCTAACACCCCATACCCTGCCCTCATTTCCTGCAAGTCTCTCTCAAATATTCACGCCTTTGTTTTGTGACACACTAAATTTAATCTGGGCCATCTATGTAACCATAGGTTTGGAGGTCTCCATTGGAGACTGGTGGGCTCACTAATGGGTACACAGCTGAAGATAATGCCTACCACTTCCTCAGAATCAATCATTAATCGATTATTCAGCAAGGAGGGGTGAGGCCATGTAGGCTTCACTCCCATCTATCACTAGTTATTGACAACAACAGTCTTGTATAGGCTCATTGCTGGCAGATGCTGCTGCTTCTGTGAAGTATGTTTGCATTGGCTGTGGCATTCCCAGAGGATCATTTCACAGCTCTTCTCCCTAAACTCTTACTTGCTTTATACACACTTTCCAATTCTGTTCCCTGAGCCTTAAAGCATGTGGTTTCAGTGTCCCATTTAGGGCTATATAACTCAGTCTTGAAAAATTCTCATCACTACAGGCAAGCAGATTCTCTGCATTCAATACTGTTCCTTGAAGCAGGGTCTCTCACTGGCCTGGCACCACTGATTAGGCTAGGTTGACTGGCCCAGGAGCCCAGGAATCTGCTTGCTTCTGACTCCACAGGGGATTTACAAGTACATCCCACCACTCCTGGTCATTTATGTAGTTCTGGGGAGGCAAAGTTAGGTGCTCACTCTTGCAAGTCAAGAAGGCTGGAGAGAAGGCTCAGTAGTTAAGAGCACCAGCTACTCTTCCAAAGGACCCAGGTTTAATTCCCAGCACCGACATGGCTGCTCACAGCTGTCTATAACTTCAAGATCAGACACCCTCACACAGATACATATGTATGTAAAACTCAAATGCACATAAAATAAAAATAAATTATAATTTTTAAAAATATTTTGCAAGTCAAGCACTTTATCAACTGAGATTTATCTCCAGACACCCATCATACTATTTTTAAATGAAATAGTTACAGGTCATTTGCAATTTAACTCATATCCCCCAACATAGATGGAACACAATAGCCATCTGAGCTTAGGCTATGCTTCCTTTCAGAATTTCCCACTCCTACAATATCCACTGCCACAAGTCCTGCCGTTCCCTGGAATGGGTCTGTGAGGATCATCTGCCAGGGAACACCTGAAGCCTTCCTGTATCAACTGTCCCTGATGAAAAACTCCACACCCACAGTTATAGAGAAGAAACTGGGATTTCAGAAAGAGGCTGAATTCATCATCAACCACATGAATACAACCACGGCAGGATGTTATCAGTGTCAGTACAGGAAGAAGTACCACTGGTCAGAGCAGAGCAAACCCCTGGAGCTGGTGGTGACAGGTAAGGAGACACCTTGGGAGCCCAGCCTCCCGATAGTTATTTTGTCTTCATTTTAGCAGACTTTGTAAGGTTATTTTAATTTTTTGTTAATTACATTCACTAGTAGGTAACTTCATGCAATGTACATGATGTATACGGACCACTCTCGCCCCCAGTTCTATTCATCTTGCTTGGTGACCCACTGAGATTAGCCTGAGCCGTTCCTATGACTAAGGGTTTGAAGTTGTCTTCTGGAGCCCAGTGGGCTCAGCAGTACATACACAACTAAAGGCATTGATTGTCCCTCTCCCAGAATCTGCATATAGTCAGTAATTACATCACAAAGGACAGGACGACTTGATTACTCCCTCATCACCCAGCTCCCCTTCTTCCTTGAATTGTTATTGACAGGATTGCTCTCATGTGGGCCCAGTGCAAGTGATTACAGTTGTATGTTAATAATTGTGGTGGTTCTGTCAAGTCTGGAGAATGGCATTTGCTAGTCCTCACCCTGTCTTCTAACTCATATACTTCCTGTTCACCTGTGGGCAGAGTTGCCTAGGTCTTAGACAAGAGTAGTATAAATGTCTTGTGTATGTCTGCGCCCACAACCATAATTATTCTCTGTATCTTGGGAAACTGTGCTTCTCTGCATTCAATAATGTCCACATTTTTTAGGTTTTTTTAGTTGTTTTCATTTAATATATTTTTATCATATTCCTTTCCTTTCCCTCCTCCAATTCTTCCCATATCCTCCCTACCTCCCACATTTTTAGGATAGCTTTAGGTTCATAGAAAAACTGAGAAGACGTTGAAGACTGAGAAGACCAAGAATGAATGAATATTGATATAACTCTATTACCTGATATCTAAAGCATATTCAGAGTTCCTTCATTGCGATCTAATGGCCTTTATCTACTCTAGGACCCCTTCCAAGATCTCACATTGCATTTATTTCTCTTTTGGTTATGATAGCCTTGGTGGTTTTGAAAAGTACAGGCAAGTATTTTCTGGGACTTCCCATTCTTAGAAATCATCTGATACTTTTCTCATGACTACACTGGGTAATGGGGTCATTACAGGGAAAACCAGAGGTGGTGCCTGTTGTATTTCAGCTGTTCTTGCCACACAAAAAAAACCTACGTGAGACGATAGATATGCTATTCACTCTAACTAGTCATTATACAATGTATGCATGGCATACATGATAGATACTGATAGATACACATCATGGTAAAGATGACAAACACACAAAACCTTCTTAGTTTTAAAAATAAGCCAGATGTAGCGATGGACATCAGAAAGCCAATAATCCCACAGGTATAAGCAGGAGGAGCAGGAGTTGTAGGCCATCCATTGCTTCACAGTTAGTTTGAGATTAGCCCTGGCTACGTGAGAGTGTGTCGAAAGAAATAGAGAGGGGGAAACGGAAGGAAAGGAGGGAGGAGAACATGGAAAGAGAGGAGAGAGGAGTGGAAATTGGAGGCGAGGGGAAAGAAGGGGGACAGGGGAGAAGTTGGGAGGAAAAACTGGGTGTGTCGGTACACACCAGCGATCCCAGCCACTCAAGAAGCTGAGACAGAAGGATCGTGAGTTTAAAGCCCACCTGAGTTGCATTTCAAGACTCTGTCTCAGCAGGTGACCCACAAGCCCACCCAGCCCTGCTCAGCCTGGGCAGATGGAAGACACCCACACTCCCTCCCAGTAGCTCAAGGCGACTGTATGGTGGAGAACGGAAAGAGAAAGAGAAGCAGGGTGGCTCATGTGCCATGGGAGAGGCATCACTGAAGACGCGAAGGCAGCAGGGAAGACGCTGATGTGGGTGGCCTGAACTACCTGCCACCCAGAGTCTTGGTGACATTCGGCCGGGCTTCTGCCCAGGGCCATGTCTGGGTCTGTGGCCCTACATCAGCCAAGCTATGTTACCACTGAAGACAATGCAGATGTGCAGCATCCGGGTCACCACCTGAGACCATGTTGGTGCCTGAAAACCATGATGCCACCAGGACCATACTAATCTCAGTGACCTGTGCTGCCACCGAGAGCCACGGTAACATTGAAGCCTGAGTCGCTGCAGAGGGCCATGCCCGCGTCTATGGTCTGCCTCAGCCAGAATCTGTGTTGATGTCTGTGGCCCCTGTTACCACAAAAGGTTGTATAGATGCCAGGGGTCTGAGCTGCCATATGTGCTCATATAGGGTGGCCAAGGGCCATGCTGCTGCCAGGGCCATACTGATCTGAGTGGCCCACTCTGACCCCCCAGCACCAGGGTGACATTCAGGCCTGAGCTGCTGTCATCTCTCCAGCACCATCAACTGAATTTTTTTATTATTTTCCACGTAAGGATTTTTGCTTGTACACCATGTGGATACAGAACTCTTGAAAGCCAGAAGGGGACATCAAATCCCCTAGAAGTGGATTTAAAAACAGTTGTGTCTCTGGAAGAGCAGACCCATTTCCCCCAGACCCTGAAAATGATTCTTCAAAGAACAAAACTTTGCCAACAGCTCACTGTCTTCTCTTCCAGGCTTATACAACAAACCTGTCCTCTCCACAGATCAAAGCCGCGTGCTGAAACCAGGAGGAAACATTTCCTTCCAGTGTAGTTCAGCATACAACCTGTTCAACAGATTTTCACTGGCCAAGGATGGAGACGCTTCGTTGCCATGGTGCCAACATGAAGGACATCAAGGCAGCTTCAGCCTTGGTCCTGTGACCCCTGACTTTGCTGGGAGCTACAGGTGCTATGGGTGGCACAGCAGCAGACCCTATGTGTGGTCAGCCCCCAGCGATGCCCTGGAGCTCGTCGTCACAGGTAGATGCATCACAGCCCAGCTCTTGCTCTCTGCCAGTGCTGTCTCTAGGTGTGAGGTGTCCTGAGACTGAGGAGTGTGGCAGCAGAGACTCACTGTCCTCAGGAGCACGAAGAGAAAGGGGCATCTCACTTACTCCACACTAATCTTTCACACTGTCTTCTGGAGTCTTCCGGAATGACCTTCAGAAACCTGTGATCTACTTTTAAAGATTTACTTTAGTTTTCTGTGTGGTGTGGTGTGTGTGTGTGTGTGTGTGTGTGCGCGCGCGCGCGCGAGCGTGCGTGCGTGCGTGCGTGTGTGTGTATGTGTGTGTGTGTGTGCGTGCACGCACAGTTCACGCACAGTGCTGATGGGGGGCCAGAAGAGGGTGACAGGTTCCCTGGAGCTGAATTTACAGATGATTCTGAATCACCCAATGTGGATGCTATAAACTGAACTCAGGAATCTCCGCAAGTGCAGCATTTTTTTAGTTTATTTTTTACATTCCAAACCCAGTTGCCCCTCCCTCCTCTACTCCCACTCCCCCAACTCCACCCCCAACTCCCATATACTTCTTGGAGAGAGGGTAAGGCCTCCCCTATGAAGTCTACGAAGTCTCGTTGAGGCAGGACCAAGGCACCTCTCCACCCCCACACTCCTGTGTCTAGGCTGGGTAAGGTATCTCTCCATATAGAAGATTTGTGCATTAGTGTTAGATCTTGGACTCACTGCCAGTGGCCTCATATACTGTCCCAACCATACCACTGTCACCTATATTAAGGGAGTCTAGTTTAGTCTTATGCGGGTCCCCATTTGTCAGTCCTGAGTCAGTGATCTCTCACTAGCTCGGGTCAGCTAGTCCTGTGGGTTTCTCCATCATGGTCTTCACTCCTTTGTTGATATTATCACTCCTCCCTCATTTCCATTGCACTCCAGGAGCTTGGCCCATTGGTTAGTGTGGATCTCTGCTTCTGCTTCCATCTTTTTCTGGAAGAGGGCTCTAGCTTCTCTGGTGTTGTGGATTGTAGGCTGGGTATCTCTGCAGCAAATGGTTTTAACCAGTGCGCCATCTCTCCAGCTTCCTGGTCTTTTGATAAAGGAAAGGCCCAATATTCAGAATCACTTATGTGGGATCCGTGTTGAGATGGAAGATCCAAATATAGTCTAGTTTAGCGCATCTTTTTTCTTTGCAGTCTTGGTAGTCCTTAAACTCACTTTCAGAATGTGCTGGCAGTGATAAAGGCTGAATCACAGGGCTCATTTGCTATGTGGTTGACATATAACACTGGACTTGAAGGAGGGAAAAAAGGTGAGACTTCAGTCAGAGGAAACTAGTTGCTGGTAGCTGAGTGGGTTGACCACATTCAGTATCTCATGCCCATCTTCTGAAGTAGATATCATCTCCCCAGTCACGCTATGAGCTATTCAGTGTGGTAGCTGTGCATTGCAATGCTGGGAAGCTAGATAGGTCTTTTCAGTTAGTGGCATAGAGACAACTTGATCTCCATACAGAATAATCAAAGTACAATTAAACAAGAACTCACTCCCGATGGATTGGGGGTCTAACTGCAAAATATATCCTGCTGTGGGAGACCACAGAAGAGAGTTATCTTGACCCTGAAATAAGAGATAGTTTTTTTCAGTGCATGATTTTTTTATTTGTAAGTTTTTTTTAAATTAGAAACAAGCTTGCTTCCCATGTCAGTTCCCTCTCTCACCCATCTATGCCCACTCCCCTAACCAGCCCCCCCAGACCCCCAGCCCCCCACCCAATCTCCACTCCATTACCCAGAGATGGTAAGGCCCTCCATGGGGGATAAGAGATAGTTTAGTCTCTAAAGCAAGATACAGGGCCTGCTTTCTCTAAAGAAAAGGACTAGTGAACTCAACCAAGCTAATTATCATGATAATGATAAAAGAAAAATCACATTTGACTAGGTAATCAAATCGTTGTGCTTTTCTGAGATAGAGTCCCACTAACTCATGCATGCTAGACAAACCCTCTTTTAAGAGGAAAATGTTATTGAACATTTAATTTTTCTAAACATCATAAGCTCACATATTTCATTACAGTCATGGGAGTAAACAGGCTTATAAAGATGAAGACCATCTAACACAGGGAAAAAAACTAAAGATAAGTAGCTCACTGGGCATCATCAGCCATGTAATTGGCGATGAGAAGTTGGATTAAAGCTGAGTGACAGAGCACCTGCCTAGCATGCACAAGGCAACTGACTCCATCATCATTGCAAGGGTCATCTTTAAGTAGAGCTAAGTTTTAGCTAATTTTATCTTAAACCTCTCAGGCAGTGGTGACTGTGTGTCTCTTTTGCCACATTTGAGAGGAACACATAAGTTGTTATGTAGAGTGAGGAAAGCACAAAGGAGAAATTCAAAGCTTCTAACATGGGGAGGTGTTGAAGAAATACCATTGGGTGGACAATGAAACCATGAAGAGAGGTGAGAAAAGCAAAGTACAAACTCCTGTAATCACCTACTTTTCTGAGAACCACAATTTCTCACCCTTGGCCTCCTCTATCTTACACACCCTAAAAGTGTGGTGTCTGTGAATATATGAGCTCATTAAAAAGGGCTAGGATCACATTTTGTCAGACTGACATGGGAAAGAGTCTACATTAGGGATGTAGAATTATGTTAGAATGGATCATGGCCAAGAATTACCTGTTTTTCCCTTATGTCTCTAGACTCCAAGAAGCAAGATTATGTGACAGAGAATTCAATCCGGATGGGTATAGCAGGGTTGGTCCTTGTGGTCCTCTTGGTGATACTAGCTGAAGATTGGAACAGCCACAGAGCACCACAAAAGGAAGACTGTCAGGCATTGGCTGCACCGAGTTTGAGCAAATAGTGACTGTGGGTAAACACTGGGAGCTGCAGCTGGGGATACGTCTTACAAACAGGAAAAATCATTAGAAGCTTGGATCCATCAGCAGAATGTAAGGTTTGAGTGCAGTGTCCACCACAGGTTTGTGTGTTTGAACACTTACTCCCCAGCAGATGGTGCTGTTTGGGGAAATGTGTAGAACTTCAAGATGTGAGATATGTAGTCCATCTAGCTCCCTGGCACTATGCACTTCTGGGGAGCTGCTATTACATACCTTCCTACCATAATAAAATACTCCCCTCTGAAAACATGAGCCATAATTAGCCTTGCCTTCCTTTCTTTCAGGACAAAAAAGATTAACTAGTACATGGAGTTATAAGATGGTGTGGTCCTAGGTGGATCTGACGCTGTTTCTTCTCTATGGGTTAGCATTCAGATTATTTTTAATGCATTTTTATTGTGACCTTATAATATAGTTACATACCTCGGTTAGGTTTTTCTTTTTCGGTCAGCTTGACAAAAGCTACAGTCATCTGGGAAGAGTGGACCTCAATTGAGAAAATGTCTCAATCAGATTTCCCTGCAGGCAAGTCTGTGGAATGTTTTTCTTAATTAACGATTGATGTGAAGGGTCTAGCTCAGGTGGGTGGTGCATCCTTGGGCAGGTGGCAAGTCATAAGCAGCAAACCAGTACACCACACTCTTCCATAGCCTCCACTTCAGTTCCCGCCTCCACGTTCCTGCCTTGAGTTCCTGCCTTGGCTTCCCCTGATAATGGGCTGTCACCTGTAAGCCAAATCAATCTTTTCCTCCCCAAGTCGCTTTGGTCATGGTATTTTACCCAGCTGTAGAAAGCAAACCAAGAACATTGATTGTAATTTTCCATCTATTTATGCCCTTTCATCTTCCTCCTGTTGTGGTACTGAAGTGATTGAACTGAAGGTCTCAGGCATGCTAGATGAGTTCCCTACAACTGAGTTACACCCCCAGCCCTCTTTTCATTTTGAGACAAGCTCTCATAAAGTTGCCCAGGGTGGCCTTGAGCTCACCTTGTGGCACAGTCTGACCTCAAACTTGTGATCCACTGTGAGAATGTATTTTTTTCTTTTTTGAGAAATGCTATTGAAGGTTTGCCTTTACAAATCAAACTTTCATCGAACTTATAATCAATGTACTTTGAGATCTCCACACCTATGCACTAATTCTTCTGAAATACTATGTACTCATCTGTTCAAAATTAGCTGAACTCTAATTTTAGTATATGTGCTGCCAAAGTGAGGACTAGCTGAACTCTAAAACAACCTCACAATCAAGTTTATCATACTCTGGACTTCTGATGTAAGTAACTCCTGCAAGCTCAGCTGAATGCACAGCCCCAATGATACCACATTCCCTATTGCACCTCTGTGACACATTCATGCCCTGACTCAAAAAGTGTGTGTGTGGGAGGGAGGGAAGGAGGAGGTAAGGGAGCAGAGAGGGAGAGAGGAGGGAGAGAGGGAGCAAGGGAGGGAGGGAGGGAGGGAGGGAGAGAGATGTGATGATCAGGTCTAAGATTATGTGCTGGAAACATGCAGATGTTGAAAGCAATGGTCCACACTCAAAATATGTCAGAAGCAACAAGTGAGTATAGGTTGATGATATGTGATTATGGCTTTGTATGCTGATCTGAGTAAGTAGGGTCAGGAGACTCCTGAGAACTAAGACAAAAGCTCCTCATCCCTTTTTGCTATTGGATTTGCTATGCCATAAAGAGTGTGGCCTTTATTTACACTACTTCTTAGATTAGACTTCTATGCTAGGCTTCTTTTGGGTTAGAGCAGGAAAGACTAAAACTCTTCTGAGTAAACCAGTCCCTTTCTTGAGTAACTGATACCAGGAGTCTTTCCTCTTTTAGACACCATCACCACAGTCTCCCTGCCCCCTCAGCCTCTTGAGCAGCTAGGATGACAGATCTGCTCCATCAGGCTTGGACCACTTTTCCTTCGCAGATTTTCTCTTTGTTCTTTATACTTTCTCTCTATATTTTTACTTTTACCATTTGAGAATTCCATGTGTGGACATATTTTGGAAAAAAAAGCATTCCCATCTCCTCCTCTTCAATTCTCTCCCTATCCACACCATCACTCCCCACCCTAACTTCATATAGTGTATTTTAAAAACTCTCTGAGCCTAGCTAGTACCACCAGTGTGCGAATGACTTTAGGACCACACACTGGAACATGGGCAGCCTCTCAATGGATGTACCCTCGTGGGGAGACTAACTCCCTTTCCCAGCAGCCAGAAATTACCAAAATAGTTCCTCAACTAGGTGTAGTACTTTGTGATTATCATTCCCCATCTACACTGGGTTTTAGATTTCTTAAATGCATATCCATCAATTATAAATAACTGGTAGACTTGTTGCAATAGTAGGTCCCATTTGTCTTTAAGGTATTGGTTTTGTCTAGATGTAAATTAAATATGTAAACACAAAATCAAATGAAGATCACAATCCTATTTGGGAAATATAAAACTGTATTAAATGACAACTTCATCTGGGGCACCAAGTTTACATTTACAACTTTAGAAGGTGCTAGAGTTCTGTTGTAACAGTACCAATGTATTTTACACTACTGAACCAATAATTGTATATTTCAAAGAGTTAGAAGAAATAAAACAGTCTCAGAAACATATATTTTCTATTATATGTGTAATTTGGAGTGGGAGAAGGACATAAAAGTAAAATGTGGATCATTAGTGGTGTGGAAGAAAAAAATGGTAGGGCATAATAAAAAGTAATGGAGAGGATGGATCTATTTAGGACCACAGAAAAGTGTGTGCATGTATAGAAATTACACATCAAAAGCCTCACTTGTGCAATTAATACATGCTAATAAAATTTACAAACTTCCAAAGAAATTATGTGAACAATTATACCATTACAGAAATCATGAGGGCTGGAGAGATATGTCAGCCATTAAAGGTTAGGCCCGCAACCAAAAATATAATAAATTGTGAGTTTGAGAAAATAGGGTGTGAATTCCTGCTTGACACTCCAGTAGTGGTGGAATTTAATGTGGAACTGTTAGCCAAATAAACCATCTCTCCCTTAGGATTCCTTTGCCAGGGTAACTTAAATGAAACTAGGACAGTGGTTAAAAGACAAAGCCCAGGAATCCACCAAACGACAAGAATGTTGTTGACAAAAACATCAAAAGTCTAGATAATCTATAAAATCAAATTATAGTAGAAAGTTCCCCAAGTCTAGAGAAAACCTAGACTAGACATACAAACACAACAGTTATTGTGAACTCCAAATATACCTGATCAGAGAAGAACTCTGCATGATATAATATAGTCAAGATATCAAAAATACAAGACAAAGAAAGAATATCAAAAACCATAAGGAAGAGACACCAACTCACTTACAAAAGCACATACATCAGAATAATGTCAGCTCTCTCAGAAACCCTAAAAGTCAGAAAAGTGTGGGATGATGTATTTCAAGGCTTGAAAGCAGAATATTCACTCAACTAATGCTGCTATATCCAGCAAAGTTGTGCCATGAAATTGACAAGGAAGTAAGGACATTTCAGGATAAACACAAACTGAGGCTGGTCATGAACACCAAACAAACCTCATAGGAGATGATGGCATTAGCAGCATGCACATAGGAGGAAGAAAGATACTCTCAGTTGCAAGGGTACAGGAAATAATATATTTCGTGAGAAGAGATAAGCAAGACAGGGAGGAATCCATGGCATCCAATAAAGTAAAGTAGTAAATCCCCAACATTAATAGAGGAGAAAGGAAACAGAAAACAATATAACCAACAAGTCAGCAAAATGCTTTCCTTACAAGTATGGGGACATGCTGGGCAGTGGTGGCACACGCCTTTAATCCCAGCACTCGGGAGGCAGAGGCAGGTGGATCTCTGTGAGTTCGAGGCCAGGCTAGACCAACAGCCTCCAAAACAATACAGAGAAACTCTGCCTCATAAAACCAAAAAAAACAGTATGGGGGCGTCAGTTCAGTCCCCAAAAGCCACATAGAAATTAAAGCCAGGAAGAAGCTGGGAAGATGGCTCAGCAGTTAAGAGCACACACATCAGAAGGCTCACAACCACCTATAATTCCAGGTCTAGGGAATCCTATGCTGTCTTCAGGTTGCTAAATTCACTACACTCATGTGCATATATCCACACACAGACACACATAATTAAAAATGAAACCTTAAATACATAAAAACCAAGTATGGTAACACATGTTTATGAAGACTGTGCTGAGTTACCTAGAGTTCATGGGTCAGCCAACCTGGCCTACTTGGCAAGTTCCAGAGCTTGGCAAGGTCCTGGCACTTGAGGGACACTGTATCCAAAAATATGTTGACATGTACATGCACACCCACATGCATGTGCACGCACGCACGCACACACACACACACAAACCTAATAAGGGTTGGAGACATAGCTAAGTGATTAAAATGCCTGCAATGTTAGTGTAAAGACCTGAGCCCAGCTCCCTAAAGCCCACCAGATGAACATGGAAGCCCACTTATATATAATTCCAGCCTGGGGATGCAGAGACAAGGGATTCTCCAGAACAAATTGTCTAAAAATATTCAGCAAATTGGTGAGCACCGAATTTTATTGAGAGGCACTGCCTCTCTATGAGTAAGGTGTAAGAGCAATCAAAGATGATCCATTACATCAACCTCAGAACTCCCCATGAACACGTGTCCACAGGCATGTCGATACACGTGCAAGCACACATAAACATACATGTGGACACCACACCTTCACATGAAAAATAATATAATAATAGCATTTTCCCGGAGTAAAATAGTAAATGCTGCCGGGTAGTGGTGGCACACGCCTTTAATCCCAGCACTCGGGAGGCAGAGGCAGGCAGATCTCTGTGAGTTCAAGGCCGGGCTGGACTGACAGCCTCAAAAACAATAGAGAGAAACCCTGTCTTGTAAAAACCAAAAAAACAAAAAAATTGTAAATGCTTTAATATTGTATTAGTGTTGCTATTAAACCAAAGATCAAATACAAACATATGTTTGTTGCACACAGAAATACAGAGGTTAAAAATCACATTTTAGGAAGTCCTCAGACCCTCTTAAATGGTCTAAGTAATAAAATCCTGGAGTCAGATACAGAAGAAAATCCTGAAAGATCAGAGAGAAGGAGCAAAACACCACCACACCTTACATCCTAAGCATCTCAGCAGATGGGAGAGTTCCTATTTCTCCCTGCTTATGCCCTGCTAGCCACCTCACTTCCTTTGTACAGACCTCCAGATCTCTATGGCTAGCTAGTGGCAAGCTCCATTCTCTGACCTTCAGACAGGCATTATGTGTAAATGCAAGATATCATCACAGAGCCCCCTTTTTGTCTAATTTTTTAAATGTATAACTAACATAAAAAACTATATACAATAAGTACATCAACAATGTCAAACAGACTTTTTTACGAAGCAGGACAATTTGAGACCTGGACCACCTTGTCTTGGCAAGGTTTGCAGTCACTCTTTTCGGTGTCCTGTTTGTCCCAATTTGGACAGCATACTGTCAGCAGTTGACGTAAGGACACTTTCTTGCCCAGTGGCTTACCTTAGCCACAAAGCAAGTAAACTCCATGTGGAGTTTCTTTGATGCCCATCATCTTCTCCAAAATTAATGGGTGCTACCAGGAGCAGATATGTCTCACTTTCATAAAAATCTTTTGTTATTAAAAACATGTTAAATGCCATATTCTGTAGATCTCCAAAGTGTCTGAAGAAAACCTGTCTTTCTAAAATATCTGTTTGACCTTGTAAACATGCCTAATGTGACTACAATTGATTGTAATAGTAGACTAATCACTAAACCACATTTCCTTATAGTCCCATATAGTTGATAATAATAACTTTCAAGGATTAGAAATCCATATTACATTATTAGATGAGTTGTATAGATACAACCCCTTGAAAAATATAGAAATGTTTTACAGTATGTTTTAGTAAAATTAATCTCAAATTTGCATCAATATTTAATATTTGCATACTATATATATGTATTCAATCCAATGTAAAATATTTAAAACTATTAGTTGATTTTTAAGAGTAGATTCCATAATCTACCTTTTCATCATGTCATATCTATATCCACTTTTTATTCTTCTCAGAGTAGATTAAATAATCTACCCTTTTATCATATCATATCTGGATTCCTCTTTTTTTCAAAAACAAAAACCTTGAACCCCTTTGTTCAACTTTCTTCCTGATCATAAGCAACAGCATTTTGTAACCAGTCCCCCTACACAATGACAAATATCCATATCTCAATGAGTGATCAAAAACCCCACCACTTGGAAATGTGAAGTCACGTTCTTAAAGTTACTTCCTGCTGTCTAGGGGCAATGACATCTTTACAGGATCCTGAAAAGAAAAGTTGGGTTAATTGTCAAGCCGTATCATTAGTTGTCCAGGCTCTGAATAATGAGAAAGCACGGGGCTTGTTTCAAATCCTGGCTAATGAAGTCTATGGGGCTGGATCACAGGGCCATCTTGAAATCATTCTGAGCAGTGTCTGTGAGGCTGGATCATCTCAATGAGTCACGTCGAAATCAGTCCAAATCTGATCTTTAGCTGGTGTTTTTCAGCATAGTGAGGTTGTCATAGTCCTGGTGGAATTGTCATTGTGGGGCACTGTAGAAAACTTATAGGGACATGGGGGGGAGGAGAGAGGGAATCTGGAAAAAAGAGGGGGAGAAGAGGAGAGGAGAAGAGAGGAAGATATGGGGGAGCAGTAAGGTTAAGTCAGGGAAAGAATGGAGGAGACCAGGATGAGAGATACTGTAATACAGGGAGTCATTATAAGTTTGAGGAAAGAGCTAACACTAGTGGGATTTCCAGAGATCTACAAGGATGACACAAATTGGCAAACTAAGCAATAGCAGAGAGACTACCTTAATTGCCCCTCCCTGATAATATGATTGACGACTACCTTATATGTCATCCTAGAGCCTTCATCCAGTGGCTGATGGAAGCAGAGGCAAACACTCACAGCTAAACACTGAACTGAACTTCTGGAACCCAGTGACAGAAAGGGAGGAGTGATGAGTAAAGGGGTCAAGACCATGATGGTGAAACCCACAGAGACAGCAGACCTGACAAGAGGGAGCTCTTGGACCCCAGACTGATGGCTGAGAAGTCAGCAGGGTGCTGATCCAGACCCCTCTGAATGTGGTGTCAGTGAAGGTGCCTTGGGAATCTCTGGGGCCTTGGGTAGTATATCAGTGTTTACCATGGTGTACGAATGAACTTTGGGAGCCCATTCCAAATAGAGGGATGCTCTCTCAGCCTGGACACATGGGGGAGGGCCTAGGCCCTGCCCCAGATGAAGTGACAAACTCTGGATGTGCCCCATGGAGGGCCTCACCTTCTGTAGGGAATGGTGTGGGGATTGGGTGGAAGGTTGATGGGAGCTGGTAGAGGGGTAAATGAGTAGGGGTAGAAGAGGGAGATGGGATCAACATGTGAAGCAAGCATGTTTCTAATTTAAATAAAAAATATATTGAGAAAAAAAGAAAATAGATAGGGACTCAAACCAGAAATCATGTACATGAAGGCAGACAAAACCTTTTTCTAGAAATGGTTAGTTCTCTATATAACCATTAACATCATGACAGAATTATGAGATTAGTAGCAATATAACAGTCCTAAATATTTGTTTTCCTTCCGTCCCATATCAGATGGCTCTTCTTAATGAGACATACTTTAACAAGAATGTGTGGGTTTAGAGAAGGAGAGAGCCACACTCTAACTCCAAAGCCAGCTTTTAATCTTCAATCAGACTGAAACTACAAAAAGACCATCTGCATTATATGTCTGTGTAGAAAAAAGGAAGCAAACATTTGGGAAGATTTATGAAAATCTGTAAATCTCCCCCATACCTTCCTGAATGAATGTATAGGTTGGCCCAGAAGTTGATTTCAGACTGGGCGGATGATGGTCAAGTATCTTTTAGACTCAAAATGGTTAAATGTGTTGTGGGACCCACATCTTTCCCTGAAACCCAAGATCAGTGGTGAGGGGAGAGCTGCAAATCTTTCCGTTTAAAAAAAACAAGGTGTGAAAGTCCCATGGCGATTGGTGTTGGGGTTCACCCACCACATCCTGTGTATTGCCTTCATCCACTGGACTCAGTCCACACACACGGTGCAGCCTTGATTTTGCCAGTGGCATGCTGTCGACACTCCCTGCCCTACTCTTCCTGGGTAAGTCCTTCGTAAAAGGGGGATGGAATCAAGAGCAGGAGTCAGGGAGACATTATATCATTACTGTTGTTTTCCAGGACTATGTCTAAGCCAGAGGATCAATGCAGGAAAACGTAAGTCCTTCCTTGAGAGCCTCAGGATCATTCTTAAGGCTTTATCTCAGAGGCCCATCTGAGAACATCCAGAGACAGAGGCAAGCATTCTGCCTCACTATGATGGCCTCAAGCTGGTGGCTGAGGGACAGTGAAGTAGATAGGTAATAGTTCACATGGGACTCATGTCTCTGGTTTCTTTTTCAGAGACTCTCCCGAAACCCATCATCTGGACCAAACCTAATAACAGGGTCACAAAAGGAAACCCTGTGAACATCTGGTGCCAGGGACCTCAGAGTGCTTCTGCGTATCAACTGTACTTTGAAGGAAGCCTGTTTGCCATGAAGAGACCAGAGTCACATACATCAATGAGTAAAGTCATGTTCTTCATTCCACAAATGACCCCAAACACTGCAGGGAGATACTTCTGCTTCTATCAGAGTGGGGATCTTCAATCCGAACGCAGTGATCTCCTGGTCCTGGTAGTTACTGGTGAGTGTCTTGTTTTTTAGATGTAGAGTCACCTTGGTATGAATCATGGGGAATGTCAGTGATCACAAATACCAAAATAACTCTTTAAGTACCACACTGGCACGGCTTATTGGGCTGGAAATCTGGGGATGTGTCCAATTGTAGGCACTTCCCATGAGGGTAAATTCAGAGTCAGCTCTCTGTCCTGGCATCAATGTGTCTTAGGTCAAGGTCTCTGAAAGATGTTTCTGTAATACGCCACTGTGTGCCAGGGCATGACTAAGGACTGGTGGACAAGAGAATCAAATCATCAAAAAACATAGCCACGTACATGGTTCTCAAATTTAACCAAGCTTGAAAAACACTTAGAGGCCTTGTAAAAGCATAGATCGCTCTCACAGACATGTTCATTGAAGCTTTAGCCACGATAGCCAAAAGATGACTGGTTAGATGACTCATGAATAAGAGAGCTTGCTGTTCTCAAGAATGAGAACCTGAATTCAAATCCCTAGAAACCATATAAAAAGTCAGGTGTGTCTGTGACTCTAGAACTGCACAGGGAACACCACATGACTGTTGTGGCTTGCTAACCACCAGCCTAGCTGTGGGTTCAGTGAGACCCTGTCTCAAGGCAATAAGACGAAGAGGGATAGAGCAGGACACCCACCTCTGGACTCCACACATGATCTTACAGGTACACACACTTAAACACACACAGGAACATACACAACACATACCACAAACAATCATACAGAGGAAAAAACAGATAAATTAAATAAATAAACTAATAGCTAAAGGAAGTAATAACACTGGTGTCTCTTAGTGAATCAATGGATGAACAAAATGTGGTATATTCACACAGTGGAATATTACTCTACCTTGAAAAGGAAGAAAATTCTGGTGCACACTATGATGCTGCTGCACCCCGAGGACATTATGCAAATGGAGACATGCCAGTCACAGAAGGACAAATAGTGCCTGATTGCACTTAATTGAGTTACCTGGAATAGTAGAATTCATAGAGACAAAAAATGTAGAAGGATGGTTGCCAGATCTTGGGAAGGCAGAAAAGGAGTTGTCTAATAGTTTAAAGGTTTCTGGATTTTGAAGGAAAAAAAGTTCTAGAAGTAAAGGTTACTAATGGTTTGTGGGCAGTGTCATGTGTTTAATGGTTCTGAACAAGTGTGTGCAAGTTCATGTGTGAACAGGGATGTGTTTGTGTGTGAGTGAGTGTGAGAGAGTGTGTGTGTGTGTGTGTACATGTAAAAGCCAGAGGACAACCTCAAGTGTCATTTTCCAGGAGCTGTTTACCTTAGTTTTTGAGAGGGTATCTTGTCGGGATCTGGAACTCACCAAGTACACACACTATGTCAGATGACCAACAAATCTCCCTATCTCTACCTGTCCAGCAGTGGGATAACAGTCATGTACCACCATGCCTGGCTTTCTGTGTGGATACTGGAGATCAAATCCAGACCCAAGAATCAAACTCAGGACTTTACCAACTGAGTCACCTCCTCAATGCCCTCTTCCAAGAAAAAAGATTTTTTTAGGGCAGAGGAAAGCCTAGGGAGCCTCAACCCTACACACAGAACTTAAGGCAACTAAGGAATGCTGACAACAGGAGAAAGTCTTACTTAGCAAAGAGCACACCAATTGGTTATCCTGTATGCAGTAGTCCACTATGAAAACATACAAACAAGTTGGAGTATACAGACTGAAAAGGTTGTATTCATGTATTTAGGAACATATGTGTGTGTTTATATATGCATATATAGGTGTGTTTATATATATGTATAGATAGATAGATAGATGATAGACAGACAGACAGACAGACAGATAGATAGGTAACAACAATTAATTTCAAAAGGAGACCACAAATTTGAAAGTGAGGAAGGAGGTTTTGGAGAGAGAACAGGGAAGGGGAAGTGCTGTGATTATATTATAATCTAAAAATAATAATTTTTAAAATGTAAAAGTCTTTTCTGTCCCTGGGTTTCTGATGCAGTGGTTCCAGGTAGGGGCAGAACATCTTCAGCCTTCTAAGTAACAGCAGTGGTTTTGGTCCTGAGGACCAAACTCAGAGCCATGGGTAGAGATGCAGAAGCTTGGCACAAATGCCTTAGTTCTAAAGGATAATGGATCTGTCTGTGAGGAGTACACGTTTAGGAAGCATAAGGAGCACAGATTCTAAAGAGTGATATCTGGCCATAGAGAAAAGGAAACAGCATATTGGGGAGTTGGAGTGTGACGGTGCTCTACATACACCCGCCCTGCTTCTCCCACAGGTATGTATGACACACCCAAACTCTGGATTCATCCAGGGCCTGAAGTAACCTCGGGGGAGAATGTGACCTTCTTCTGCCACCTGGATGCTGGGACAAGCAAATTCTTTCTTCTCAAGGAGGAAGAACCCAACCGTGTCCAGCAAAGACATGGGAACAAGAAAGCAGACTTCCCCATGGGCCCTGTGACCAGAGACCACGGAGGGACATACAGATGTTTTGGCTCTTACAACGACCATGTATGGTCTTTCCCCAGTGAGCCTGTGACACTACTTATCCCAGGTAAGGACCTCTCACCTGTGTCTTAACCACAGCCCTAGAGGATACCCTTGACAGTGATTTTCAAAAGATATAGTAAAGAGTTCTCTGCTTCTTAGAGATCCAACTGGTCACTCAGGAACACCAGAGGGGCAGAGAAAGATGAAGGAACCAAGGATACAGGAGAAGACCCAAAAAGGTCACTTTTTTCATTATTTTTCCATTTCTAGGAGGTGAGGGGAACACCAGCCTTGAGCCCACAGACCCTACTTCTTTTGGTGAGTCACTTCCAAATCTATCAGAAAGGAGCTGGATAATTAGTGTAAAGTCCTTACACTGAGGAACCAAGTTGGAGCCACAGAGCCTATGTAAAATCCAAGCATGGTGACCTATGCCTGTAACTCCAGTACTAGGGGGAGAGAGAGGAGGAGGAACCCTTGGGACTCAGTGGCTATCCAGTCTAGTTGACTCAGTGATTTCAAAGTTTATTAAAAGACCCTGTATCAAAAATTAAGATGGAGAGGATTTGTAAAAGGCAACACACATACACACACACACACACACACACACACACACACACACACATCATTGAAAAGATCAAAACTTACCAAAGACACTAAGAAGGGGTCATTTACTCATAACATTCACGTAATGCACAGCACCTACTAGCAGCTGTGGCAGAGTCAGTCAGCCAAAAACACCCTTACCTTTGTGGAACTTACATTCCAGCGCTAAGAAACAAACCAAGAGTCAAGTCAGAAAGAATAAATGTTTTCTCTAGCACATAAAGAGGAAGCTGTGATGTAGAAAAAGATAACATATCAAATTGACCAGGAGGGAAGGCAGCAATATGAAAGATGGTTTCCCAGAGTGGGAAGCATCCGAGATAAAAAGCAACTGGGAAAATACTTGGGGGTACAGAGGGAGAAGGATCCATAGCCATGTGTATACAGCCTAGGGAAGGAAGATGAACCTGTTGATATACAGAACTGTACTGATGGGCCATTGGGGTTGAAAAGAGCTGTGTGGCCCAGTTTCATTTCAGTTTCTTAAATTTGTGTTAATTCCTTGAGAATTTCATACATTGTTTTGATCATATTCAATCCCTCACTACCTAAATTTTGTGTCATCTTTTAAAAATCTCATCAAATACAATTTGTGCTCCCCATACCTCCTGGGTGTGTAACCTTCCACAAGAGTATGGCCAGTCTACCTGGGAACAAAAGCCTAAAAGAACCTACTCTCCCTCACACAGCAGGCAACAAATGTCAATGGTTCCTCCTCCGGGGGTGGGACTTCACACATACCTCTTGTCTCCATGCTGGGATTTGATCTGGCTTGAGCCTGAACAGGTCTTATGAATGCTAGCATCATACCTATGAGCTTGTATGTGCACACGCCCTGTGGTGGCCAGAAGACACTAGTTCATTGTAGTTAGCCACCAACTCTGGCTCCCCAGTCTTTCCACCCCATCTTCCATGATAATCCCTAATCCTTGGGAGGAGGAGCGTGATAAAGCTCATTTAGGACCGAGAATTCCACAGTCTTATTCTCTACACCTTGAGCAACTATGAGTCTTCATTTTAGCGACCGTCTTCTCTGGTGAGAATTACATTTCTGTTGCTGCTGTAAGACACCCTGGCCAAAAAGCAACTCTGAAAGTGAAAGGGTTTATTTGGTCGTCTCTGGAAAGAGGTCATGGCAAGAACTCAGGCAGATAGTTACATTACATCCACAGCAAAGCACAGAGAGAAACAAATACATCCATGCTACCCGAACTCTTCGAGTGTTCTCCTGTCCTATATCATTCACACACCCCTGCCCAGGGAAGGGCGACATCCACAATAGACTGGGTCTTCACACATCAAATAATAATTAAAGCAATCCCACACGGACATACCCACAGGCCAGCCTGATCTAAATAATTTCCCACTGGAGCTCTCTTTGCAGAGAATTCTACATTGTGGCAAACTGACATTTAAAACTGAGCATCACAGAAGTGATGGTGGGGATGGAGGCAGCTCACTTCAGACAGTGAAGAAAATGCTGTGTGTGAATTAGACTTTGTGTGAGAAGGAAATGATATTGGATGGATGAGGAAACTGAGGCTTCCCCAGAGTTACTGTCTGCCATGAACACACATGTATTAGTGCTATGGGTGAATCCATTCTTGAGTAAAATCATTTCTTCGCTAGTCTGCTCTATTGCCAGTGTGAATCTCCTAGGACTTGGAATTCTGGGTGGGAACCAATGTTGGAAAGCCATTGGATGCCATAGGGCATATACAGAAGAAGAAATATTTTGAAGGAAGGATCCAACGCCTTTTCGATCATCCCTGCTTCTTTCCTTTATCCTCAGTTTATTTGGAGTACAACCTTTCAACAAAAGAGTCAGGATTGCAGAAGGGTAAGTGGACATTAGAAGCACGGACTCTGGGAAAAGGCGCCGAGCAAGGCGGGAATGTCAAGGAAGAAGAGGGGGAGGGGTGGGTGTAGCCTCTGTCAACAGCCATTCTGTCTTCTATCTCCAGACTCTGCCTTCTGGGATCATACAACCCAAAATTTCATTCGGATTGGTCTGGTATGCATAGTCCTGATGGCTGTCATATGGCTTTTGGCTGAAGACTGGTTCAGCAGGAAGAAGGATAAAGAGAGGACCAACAGATCAGCAAGTTGGGAATGCAGAAGAAGACGGAGATCGCAATGTTCTCTCGAAGAGGAACAACGGGATGCAATTTCTATGGGGGAACTGAAGGCAGCTCCTGGACCTGGGGCCATATGAGTCTATGCTGTCCCCTTGGTGAAGGAAGTGGTCATTGCAGGAATGAAGGGATGGCATCACCAAGTTTGGCAAAGCACCCTAAAGGGCATGGTGAGATGGAGCCTACAGTTTTTACTGCAGACAAATTCTCGCTGTCTCTGTTAAGCTTTAAGTACTTTAATGTTCTTTTACTGAGAGCTATACTCTTAAACACGCTGGTCTTTCCTAGAAATGACTACCTTCCAACGTGTTGGCCATGGGAATATCTCCCTACTACTTTGGTCTTTATGAGTTTTCCTAATTTTATTTATTTATTTTATATGTATGGGTGTTTGGGGGCACCATGTGTGTAATTAGTGTCAGATCCTCAGGGACTCGAGTTACAGATGGCTATGAGCTGAAGGGAGGGTGCCAGGAATTGAACCCAAGTCTTCTGGAAGAGCAACAAGTGCTCTGAACCTCCAAGCTGTTGCAATATACTTGTCTACAATGAGTAAAGATGTGTCACTGTGATTGATGTAATTAAGAGCCCAATGGCAAATATCTAGGCAGGAGAGAATGGGCGGGACTTCTGGGCAAAGGGAAAAACATGGGATGAATTCTAGGGACACAAGGGATGCCAGCAAGACATCTTATAAGTCAGACACACAGAGATGGGAAAGAGGCAAAAGCCACGTGGCAAAATGTAGATTACTAAAAAGAGGTTAATTTAAGTTATAAGAGCTAGTTGGGGACCAGGCGTTGGTGGTGCTCGCCTTTAATCCCAGCACTTGGGAGGCAGAGGCAGGCGGATCTCTGTGAGTTTGAGGACAGCCTGGTCTACAGAGCAAGTTCCAGGACAGCCTCCAAAACAATACAGAGAAACCCTGTCTCGAAAAAAAAAAGAGCTGGTTGGGGAAAAGCATAAGATAAGGGGGAAGTTTCATGATTGATAATAAGTCTCCAGTTGTTATTTGTGAGCTGGTAGTCCAAAGAAAATCTGGCTGCACTGAGCCGTATCTCCAGCTCCGTTTTCATTTTCATATATTGTCTGTCCATGTGTGATATATGTGCATGAGCACATGTGCACACATGTCATGTCACTCATATGAGGTCAGAGGACATCTTTATACAATCACTTTTCGCCTTCAATTTTTTAAAATTATTTTATTCTTTGAGATTGCATCTCTCCCTCACCTTTCCTCCCTTCAAATACACCCATGTATCCCTCCTTGCTCTCTTTCAAATTCATGGCCACTTTTTCCATTAATTTTTGCTAGACACACAGTATGTGTGTTTGTTTGTTTTTGTTTTTATGAGACAGGGTTTTTCTGTATTGTTTTGGAGGCTGTCGGTCCAGCCTGGCCTTGAACTCACAGAGATCCGCCTGCCTCTGCCTCCCGAGTGCTGGGATTAAAGGCATGCGCCACCACCGCCTGGCTGCGTTTTGTGTTTTTAACCTACTAAGCTGTCTCCTTGCTAGATCCCTATTTCTTTCTTCTTTGCCCACAAGATTTCCGTTCAAAAATAAGTACTAAACTACAATACTAATAAGTAGACATACACTGTCCTGGCTGGTATTATGTCAACTTGATACAAGTTAGAGTTATTTTGGAAGAGGAAACCTCAGTTGAGAAAATGTTCCCACAATATTGGCCTGTAGGAAAGCTTACAGTGTGTTTTCTTGGGTGATGAGTAATGTGAAGGGCCCAGCCCACTGCGGGCAGTATCATCCCTACACTAGTGGTCCTGGGTGCTGAGAAAGTCATGAGAAAAAAGCCAGCAAGCACTGCCACCACCTCTGCGTCAGCTTCGGCCTCCAAGCTCCTGTCCTGATTTCTCCCAGCAAGGGGCCGTGATATGGAATTATGCGCTGAAATAAACCCATTTCTCCCCCAAGTCACTCTTGGTCATGGTGTTGTAGCACAGCATTAGAGACCCTATCTAAAACATGTGCAAGACGGTTCAAAAGCCATTGCAGCCACAAACAACCGGTAGAAATGCAACAACGAACAAATAATTCAGACACACAGTTGTGCCCTAGCTGGATCTCAGCCAAATCTTGGTTTCCTCCCTATGTACACCATGTGGGTCCTAGGGATTGAACTCATAATCAGGCTTGGAGGCAAGTGATCTTTCCAGATAAGTCATTGTATTTGCCCTTGATATTTCCTATAACAGGACCAGAACTCTGTAAGTGCTCACATGCCCATATTCCCATCTGCAGTGTGAGTTCATGTAAATTGAGTCTATCACCCTGGTGATTGCATTCCCAGTCCTCAAGGAAATAGCAGGAAACACACTGAATGAATGCGTACATGAATGCAACACAGAACTGTGTCCTGATGGGGAAGTCCTGTGTATATGTCAATAAAGCACTGTTGGCCAAAAGGGAAGCAAGATAGGTGGGACTAGGAGTCTGTGAGGATTCTGGGAAATGTAGTAAACTGAACCAATGCCATGTGACTCCCAGGAAGAGGGGATGCAGGTCTGCGTTCTCGGAAAGGTAAGTCCTTATAAAAATACATATTGATGATTATGGGTCAATAATTAAGTCAGAGCTAGCCAGTGAGAAACTATAGCAAATGGCCAACGGCTTCATAATTAATATAGTGTCCTGTGTGTTATTTGGGGGTTCAGACAGCTCGGCAGGGCCCATGCAGCTAGCTGGGAAGACAACATGTTACAGGGTCCAGCAGCTCTTTCCTGCTGCAACTATTTGGTTTCCCCATTAATATGCTAATATGGATCACCACTGCCCACTATACAGACACATCAGGCAGGTTAAATCCATCTCTGAAGCAAAGTTTCCTGTTAGGTATGAAGATTCCTAAACCCAAAGAAATTTATAAGATTTTTTACTCTTATTTTTTTGTTGGTTGGTTGGTTGGTTGATTAGTTTGGGCTGTTTTATTGTGTTTTGTTTTGTTTGAGACAGGATCTCACTACGTGGTCCAAGATGCCTCAAACTCTTGATCCTCAATCCCTGGCCTCCTAAGATTTGGGATTACAGGCATGTGGCACCACGCCTGGTTTATTACAAAGATTTACTGAGGCGTAATATCAAGAAACTAGCCTAGTGGGACCAAACTAGGCCCTCTGCATTTGGGTGACGGTTGTGTAGCTTGATCTGTTTGTGGGACCCCTGGAAGAATGGGGACCGGAATCCATCCCTGTGCATGAGCTGACTTTTTGGAGCCCATTCCGTATGGCGGGATGCCTTGCTCAACCTGAATGCGGGAGGGAGGGGTCTTGGTCCTGCCTCAACTTCATATGCCAGGCTCTGTTGACTCCCCATGGGAGGCTTTACCTTTTCTGAGGAGTGGATCGGGTGGGGGTGTTGTGGAGGAAGTGTCAGGAAGCAGGAGGAGGGGAGGGAGGGAGAACCGTGGTTGGTATGTAAAATGAAAAAAAAACTAATAATTACAAAAAAAGAAACTATCCTAAACTCTGACATACATGTCACTCACTGCACTGTAGGCAACTGATAGCTGTGCCCAATACCAGGGAAGCTCCAAATTGAATTTGCTTCTCTCTTTTCCCTATTGGCAGAGCATTCTAAGTATGTAATCATAATCTCCCTATTCACCCCAAGATTAAATGGATGGCTTTGAGGTGAGTTTATGAAATGGTAAATTTCCCTGTTCTAGTTTATGGCAAGAAAACTGCTATCTTCAGCAAAATAGCATGAAAGTTAGAAATAGTTCATATCCCTATACCTAGAGTCAGAACTTGGTCTTGATAAAGCTCTCTCCTCAAGGGAATGAGGAGGGTGGGCCTGACCATCCCTAACCCTGTGGTCTTGATTCATCGGAATCAAAATCTCTCAAACTGACTGAAAGCAAGACCCAAGGGCTCTGCATTGCATATAAATTTGATGTTTTTTAAGACAAGGTCTCATGTAGCTCAGACTGGCCTTGAAGTAACCATGTTCAAAGATGACTTTGAACCTCTGCTGTGCTGGTATTACAGTCATGCACCACCATGCCTGATTTATGAGGTTCTGGGGTGTTGAACCCAAAGCCTTGCACATGCTAGGCAAGCCATTTGCGAGCTAGACTGCATCCCACCCATGTAAAATTGGAGGGCTTTGTGAATGGCCCCTGACTTTCTGTAACATCCGCAGTGAAGCAACGTGTGTATCTCTGGTTAAAATATTTGACTCTGGCTCCTGAAACCTTTGGGGAGTATAAGACAAAGATAAGAGGGCAAGTCCAACTACACTTCAGCTTGACTTAATGTGATTTGGGGGATGTGCCCAGCCAACCACAGTACTTAAGGGTTCATTACCACAGGAACCAACCATGTGTTTGAATTTTCAATCCCACTTCCACTTGACCTCCATGGAGGAAGGAAGGGCTGTCACTCAAGTGGGATGATCACCCTTGCCCGCCTGAAGAAGCCTTCATAGAACCCCACCCAAAAGTACGGGGCTCAGAGGGATTTTCTTGTATGTGAACAAGAATACTCCTATATGCAAAGAGAATAGAGTACCCCAACTCCTGGAAAACAAGACATTCTATCTGGGGACCATTAGGAATCTCACCCTGTATCTTATAATCTGACCTTCCTCTGGCTGTTTTCTGTGCCATTCAGATCACAGTAATCAGTAGGTAAATTCACAGTGTGTTTGTCTGGGTTCTATGGACCATATAGCAAACTTAACTGAGCACAGAATGGCAGAAGCCCCCAAATTACAGGCAACAAGCTAGTCAGAAATTCAGATTTCAGATTGAGACATGTGATTGATGCTGGAAGTGGAGGGGATAACCCAGCCCCTTCATATTGCCAAAATTTCTTACAGCTCCTTTATAAATAAAATCTTGGCAAAGAATAACACACACACACACACACACACACACACACACACACACACACACACCAGAAATCCAAGACTGATATCTTTAGGCAGGGTCTCATTTTGTAGCCCAGCTGATGTTAAACTTTAGATTAAGTTTACAGGTGTGTATTGCCACACTAAATTAGAAGATCATCTTAAATATGTGTGTGTGTGAGAGTGTGTGTGCACTTGTGTGTGTGTGTTCATTTAAATCTAGATTTCTGGACCAGTGACATTAGTAAAGGAGTAAAGGTGTTTGCCACCACACCTGACAACTTACAACTTGAGTTCAATCTTCCATTCCCAGGACCCACACAATGAAAAAAGATAACTACTCCCACAAGTTGATGTCTAATTAGCTGTGTGCAACACCAGACACACACACACACACACAAATAAATGTGATAAAATTTAATAAATAAATCTGGATTCCTATGAGAGAGCAAACACAATTACTTGTCATTCTTTCCCACATTACTATCTCAAGTCCCTTTTGAATTTCAGGACTCTTTAAGCTTTGACAGCCACCTGACCTAAAACAGACTCTTAGACCATTAGTACTGTGAAATGATACCCAACCTCCACCCACCCTGGCATGGATAAGTCTAACTGCAATCAAAATTGCAAACAACAGGTGTGGCTAGAAACAGCATGTGGCTGAGGTGAAGGTCAGTCTCCACCTATCCCTTTCCTAGATAGAAGTTCCTCAGTGGTTGGATTGATTCTCAGGGGCCAATTGCAGAGCTTGGGTGGAAAGGCAACCACTTCTTTTTTATTTGGAACCAATCTTATTTTACATATCAACCCCAGTTCCCTCTCCTTCCCAACCTTCCATGTCACCCATCAACTTCCCATGTCATCCCATCCCCATCCACTCCCCTAGGGAGGGTGAGGTATGGGGGATCATCAAGGTCTGTCATAATTTGGGCCAGTGCCAAGCCCTCCCCCATGTATCTAGGCTGAGATAATATCCCTCCATAGGGAATGGGATCCCAAAGTCCATTCATATACTAGGGTTCCACTGTCAGAGATTCCATAGACTCCCACATTCAGAAAGCTTGGTTCAGTCCTATGCTGATCCCCAGTTTTATGGCTGGGGTTCATGTGCTCCCACTTGGTCATGTCAGATGTTTCTAAGGCAACCACTTTTGAGAGTGCTTTCCCACACCTGTAGCACTAGGAGCCTGAGTAGATGCTGGAATTGGAGAGGTGAGTCATAGTTCATCACTATTTACTCTTCTGGGGGGGTCGCTGTGATTTCCTCCTCCCTTTCTGTGAATATTTGGATGTCTTGCCAGAAAGAATTATGAGGCATGGGGTTTGCACTCAAATTTGATTATTTGAAACGGGGTCTCATGTAGCCAGCTGGCCTTCAACTTGCCCTGTGGCTAAGGATGTCTTTGAACTGATCCCTTGCCTGTAGCTCTAGCATGCTGACATTACAGGCTTGTACCTGTACTCAAGTTATGCAACATTTTGTGAATGCTAGGCAAGCACTTGGACAACTAAACTTCATCCCAGGTGCTCAGAACTTCCCTGTGCAAAGGTTGTAGTGGGCTTAGAGGAACCTTCCCCCAATACCTCCTTCTAAGACTTCCAACAGCTTTTCCTATACTGGAACCCAGGTCCAGGATATTCAATGCTTCAGAGACTCAGAGACAGGTGTGGTGTTGAGCCTAGCAAGGGTGTGGTGCCAGGGTGTTTTTCTCTTCTCCAAGAGTATTTGGAGCATAGACATAACAAAACTGCAACACCTGAACCTACCAGGTGTCAGGCCAAACAGTGGGTTGAGTCTGGAAAATGCTCGTGGTTTCCTTCTGAGAGACCACTCTCCCCTTTCCCCCCTTCCTTGTCCCCTGCTCATTTGGAACAGGGTCTTGCTGTAGTCCAGACTAGCCTCAAACTCAAGACAAAGTGTGATGTCCTCTGTTAAGGGGAGTTGCTTGGCCAGGCATGATGGATCTTGTCTATAAGTCCATTGTAGATGTCTGATCTGTGGACCTGTAATGGCGCCCACACCCCTTTGGGTGTGGTTTCAGACAGATGGAAGCAGAAAGAGAAGAGCTTGAGGCGTGGCTTTCTTTGGTGAACTCTGTCTGTTGGGAGAGCAGATCCCGTAGGAAGAGCATGGAAATGATCTAGTTGTTCTTAGTATTTTTCTGTGCAATTTTCCCCAACAAACACTCATTTATCATTTATCTTGGGTCTAGTGATTATATTACATCCTTGCCTTCAGTCCAGTACTTAAGAGGCTGGCCTTCGTGCTTGCACAACAAGCACTCTCACCCACTAATCCATCTCCTAGCCTCTTTAAAAACTATCAATTGTGTCTGAACAGTGTTTCTACTCCACGGTTTCAGACAGCCTCATCTCCAGGTGTAATTACTGACTGGCCATGTTCTCAGCACAATGTGCTGTCCCTGCTTACTGCCACCTTGTATCTGGCCAGCCAGTTCTTTCCTGCTGATGAATGCTTCCACCGGGGACTCTTCCCTGAATCTCAGATGCTTGTGACCAGTTACCTCCTGGATATTTTCCCAAAAGTTTCCCAGATTCTCCTCATTTTAACTTCTTTATCTCGTGTGTGTGTGTGTGTGTGTGTTCTTGCGAGTGCAGGCTTGAGCATGCCACAGTCACATCTGGAGGTAAGAGGACAGCATCAGATGTTAATCCTGTCCTTTGGCCTGATGTGAGGCTGCCATGCTCCAGATTAGATGAGTCATTAGCTCCCAGATTTTCTCCTGTCTCCATCTCCCACCTCGCCAGAGGAGCACTGGGGTTCCAGACATTCTCTACTGTGCCCAGATTTCTGTGGACTTCTTGGTGTGCAAACTGAGACCCTCACACCTTGACACCAAGTGTTCTACTCACTGAGCCCTCTCTCCGGCTCCATAATTCACCTATGCACCACCCAATGTTTAGCTTCAAATCCTTCTTTCATTGAGACACGTGCGATCCTGTGTTTATTCATTTCAGACTCCAGGAATTCCTCTGCAAGGCCTGTTAATGCATTTAGGAATGACCTTATGTGCCTCTATTAGTCATATACATCATGTAACAGAACATGCTGTGTAACGCTTTGGTCAGTGGTGGGACACATAGGACAGTGGTCCCATCAGATTATCATGAGACTGAGAAGTTCCTCTCAGATGGCATCAGAGACATTTTAACATAGCAGTGCAAAGAGTACCTCATGTGTTAGAGATGGTTCTGGTGCTAATGGAATTAAAGTATAGAACGTACAGTCACACACAGTGCCTGTACTTGGTAATGAATTTGTCATGCTATTCATTTTATCTCTGCAGCATATACCTCCTACCTAGAAATGGGTTTGCTCTGGCATAAGTAAACCTTCATGTCCATGTGTACAGAGGTTGCAGAAGCCAGAGGTAGATGCCTACTGTCTTCAGTTGCTCTCCGCCATAGTCCTTTGTTTTTATTTATTGTTCTCATTTTTTATTCTTAGAGAATTTCCTATATTTTGGTTACATCCTACCCTCTCACCCAAAATTCTCCCAGATCCATCTTCCCTTCCTTACACACTCATATTACACCCTTCTTTTAACTCATCAAGTACAGTTTGTGCTACCCATATACTCTTAAATATATGGCCTCCCACAGGAACATGATGAACCTACCAGGAACTCTGCCTGGGTATGGTAGGAAATGTAGGGAAAATGTGATGTGTACAGGATTTGGTACTTTCAGGCATCCATTTGGAGTCTTGAAATATATCTGATGTAAATAAAAGAAAAGGACTGTACTGATCATATAGATTATTGTGTATTAATGAAAAGTAACAATCTAGCCTACTTTCTAGAGAACAAGCTTCCATTCTAAAAAATAAAATATTTATCCAACTGTGACTTAAGATGGAGTTAGGGTAAAGGCTAAATCTATGGACCACCACAGAGGAACACAAACTACCAGAGAATAGTGGATATGTAAAGGATGGAACAGATCAGCTGTGTAAGCCAGGTAAATCAATCTGGAACCCGTGTTAGATAAGATTAAAGAAATGCCATTACACAGGTATAGTATGCTATCTACCACATGAACGGTAACAAAAATCCCGTAGATTTTTTTCATCCCATGTGGAGTTCTTTCAGAAAAGTAGATATTGACTCAAATGCTTGACAGAACATCAGGAAGGCATAGGGACCTCCATCCTATCTTCTTGGCTCAGCCCTCAGATTAGTGTCTACACACAATCTTTATAAAACCTCCCCATTCTTGAGTAAATCCATGTCTGGGGCTCTAATTATGATGAACATCTAGTCAACCATTGTCCTACAAGCCATGTTATTTCTAAGCCCGTGGGAGGGGTGGGAGTGGTCTTTGCACAGCTCTGATCCTGTGTGGCAGGCGTTTCTTCCGACTGCGCCAATCCTCTGCCAGAAGCCCCACCAGGAATATTATAATCATGGCACCAAGGCATATTCGGACCAGATTCCCTCTGGCATAGTGCTGGTGGGAAAAACCTAAACAAAAAAAGAAAGTTGAAAACAGATGCTAAAAAGGCTCATTTCCAGGCCCCAATCCCTATCCCTGGTTGATATTTCCTTATCTTTCAATAGTTAAGATGCTCATCACCTTCCCATAGGATCCTTCCTTCCCCTCCAATGGTCAGAACTGAATAAGCCCAATTCTTTATCCAGTAATGCTCTCATAGATCCTTTCCTAGAATCCCAGTACAATCCCTCCTCTGATACAACCAACACCTGTTTATATTGCTGCCTTATTAAAAAAGATAACTGTAAGAAAATGATGGAAAAAGAAAATGTCTATGTTTGACTATTAGGAAAATTTCAACCTTCCCATTTTAATCTTCTTGAACACTTCTGAATTCTGTATGCTAATATTCTACTCCCCTTGATGTTTTATGCACTAGCTCCCAAAATAACAGAACTATATATCCCATGTACAGGGAAAATAGTCTGCTCTGAATGAAGAGATGGGATACAAAGGAAGTATATATGAACAGGACCACTTACCAAATGGAGGGCTTGACTCCTCTGGAGAGATGGTGATATTCATAGACTTCTCTAAGAAGGAAAAAAGGGCCAAGTGACAACAAAAGGAAACATTGCCCCTGCTGGATACAAACACATGTTCTCATGTGCTTGTGAGACAGAAGTCCTTTACATTCAACAAAAGCACAAACCAGGCTGCCCAGATTTGACTTCCCCATGCAGCACTTATTGTATAAGGGACCTCTGAAAGGTCTCTCAACAGCTGTGAGTTGATTTTATCATACATCACCTGGAACTGATACTGTAATAGAATGGATTGTCTTATAAAAAATAGTACAAATTAAGCATTAATAATTTGGAAATGCAAAATGTGAAATAAACAACATTTGATATTCCTAAGCACTGACATGATGCCACAAATGAAAAATAAAAATCTACACCTGATCCCTATAGGACAAATATGGAAGTAACTGAGGAGGGAAAATAGTATGATCAAAACCTACTGTGTGAGACTTTGATGATCCCCCATGGAAGGTCTCACCTTCCCTGAGGAGTGGATGGGGGGTGGGATGGGGGATGGTGGAGGGAATGAGAGGACAGGAAGGAGAGGGAGTTGGATTGGTATGTAAAATAAGATTGTTTTTAGTTTAAATAAAAATTAATTTTTAAAAAACCTACTCTGTGTATAATTTTTAAATAAAAATGAGATATGTAAAATATTATGATATATATACATCATATATATATATATATATATATATATAGAGAGAGAGAGAGAGAGAGAGAGTGTGTGTGTATAAACCATAAATGTGTGCCTGGTGTGGTAATGTCCATCTTTAATCCCAGAACTTGGGAATTGAGGTCAATGGGCCACCCTGGTCTACATAACAACTTTGAATTCAGCCAGAGTTACATAGAGGGACCCTGCCACAGGAAATAAAAGCATAAATGGGGTCATAAAGATAACTTGTCTGGTTAAGTGCTTTGCCTAGCATTCATCAAACCCTGAATTTGATACCCCGCACCACATAAACTGAGTATGATGGCACATGCTTTAATCCCAGTATTCAAGAGGTAGAAGCAAGAACAGAAGTCCAAGGTCATTCTCTCCTGTATAGTAGGATTGAGGCTAGCCTAATCTACATGAAATTCTGACTCAAAGAAAAGTGTCTATAGACTTTGCTGGTAGGAAACAGAAACCCATTCTCATGCCTCTTTTGTATTGAGCATTAAATGCCTACTTACCAGTTGTAGATATCTTGGTTGAGAGTAAGTTGTAAAGTCTCCTGGAGGTTTCTAAGAGTTATAATCAGGAATATTTTTAAGGAAATAGAATAATAACAGTGCATCCCAAGTGGCCTCACCCTCCAGACCCCTTCTGAGTTCTCTAAAGCTTCCTCATCCATCACACATTGCCCAAATGCTGAGATTACTAAATTCAAACAGCCCCAAACTTAGCTCCCAATGGCCTCAAAGAGTTGGACCATTTCTCAGCTGATAGGGTTTAAGTTGTTTCCACTTTGGGGATGGCATGAACAATGCTGTCATAAGCATCCGAGTGTAAGAGCTTGTGTGAATGTAAGCATGGCGAGTTGAATGAGAAGGCCCCCTCTATGGGCTCAGAGATTTGAATGTCTGTTGCCCAGGTGATGAAACTGTTGGGGAAAGTTTAGCATGTGTGGCCTCATTAGAGTTGTGTCACTGGGGGTGGGATTTGAGGATTCAAAAGCCCACACCGGGGTGCTGGAGAGATGGTTCAGAGGTTAAGAGCACTGACTGCTACTCTCCCCAAGTTCCTGAGTTCAATTCCTAGCAACCACATGGTGGCTCACAACCATGTATGAGATCCGGTGCCCTCTTCTGGCCTGTAGGAATGCAGCCAGAGCATTATATACATAAAAAACAAACAAGACAACAACAACAACAAACAACACAGGGCTGGCAGGGGGGAGTAAAGGCCAGAGAGGACATAAAAAAATCCTCAAAACCAAAAGCCCACACCAGTCAGCTCACTCTCTCTGCAGATCAAAATGCAAGCTCTCGGGTACAGCTACAGCACCATGCCTGCCTTCTGCTACCATACTCCCTGCCATGAAGACCATAGACTCACCCTCTGGAACCGTAAGGCCAAGTAAACTCTTTGCTCTATAAGCTACCTTGGTCATAGTGTCTTATCATGGCAATAAAAAAGTAACTAAGACAGTAAGTTTTCAATTTTCTTTCTTTTTTTATCATTTTTCATTTTAATTTTAAATAAAATAAAATGACATGTTTTACATGTCAATCCCAGTTCCCTCTCCCTCCCCTCCTCCCACACTCCCCTTCCCCCCCACCCTCCCACCCTATTGCCAAATCCTTCCACATAGGGGATATCTAGAGTCTGTCATTTCACTCTGGGTAGGGTCCAGGCACTCCCCTAAGAATCCAGGCTGAGAGAGCATCCCTCTTTGTGCTATGGGCACACAATGACTGTTTGTATACCAGGGATAGACACTGATCCACAGCTCAGGGCCCCATAGGTTGCCCAGGCCTTCTCGCTGACACTCACATTTGGGGAGGTCCAGATCAGTCCCATGCTGGCCTCCCCACTGTCGGTCTGGGGTCCAAGAGCTCTCCCCTGTTTAGATCAGCTATCTCTGCTGGTTTTGCCAGCCCATTCTTTGCCAATTTGCTCATCACTCCTCTCTCTCTGTCACTGGGTTCCTTGGGTTCAGTTCAGTGATTAAATGTGTGTTTACCTCTGCTCCCATCAGTCACAGGATGAAGGCTCCCGGATGGTTATAGACATCAAGTTCATTATCAGGAATGGGCATTCGAGGTGGTCTCTCCACTATTGCTTAGCTTGCCAATTGGTGTTATCCCTTTAGATCACTCGAGGTCGCTCTGGTGCCTGATCTGTATTCGATCCTATGATTCCCTCTTCCCCCTATTCTACCCCCACCCACTCAACTTCCTGTTCCCCCATGACCAACTCTCTTCCTCTTCACCCCCTCTCTTCTTCCCAGGTCCCACTCCCCCCCACCCCTTGCCGTGTTCCTCATCCATTCAGGGGATCTTGTCTCAATCCTCTTCTCTTGGGTACTATGCATACAATTTTCTTTCTAAGTCTTCGAATTTTTTAGTACCAGCCCAAGAATTTCAGAATCACTAGGTCACAGCATAATTCTGTTTAACTTCTGAGAGACTACAAGACTAGTTTTCAAATCATATGCCCCCACCCCTGGCAATGTAGAAGGCTGTAAATCTTTCCAACCCCTGGCTTGATTGTTTATTTGGTTGGCTGCTTGCTTGCTTGGTTGGTTGGTTGGTTGGTTGGTGTCTATTTAGCTTATTGGTTGCTTGATTGGTTGGTTGGTTTGTGTTTATATAGTTATAACCATCTTAGTGGGCACATGGCATGTGGATTGTATCTCATTTTTAAACTGGTATCATAAGAAAACCAATTATTAGCCTCTTGTTCAGGAGGTTTCTTCTGTCCTAAATTCAATGTCTTCACATGAGACTGCCTATTATTTTTACCAAAATGTTTCCTGAACCCATTAAGCCTGTGAATATGCAGAAGGCCTAGGTCAGGCCCATGCAGTCTCCCTAACTATTAGTCCACAGTCCATGAGCTCCCATGAGCTCAGGTCAGCTGTCTCTGTGGGTTACTCCATCATGACCTTGACCCCCTGGCTCATAAAATCCCTCCTCCGTTTCTTCAGGAGGATTATAACAGTTGTGTGGCTTGGTCTATTTGTAAGGCTCCTAGCAGTGGGATCAGGACCTGTCTCTGGTGCTTAGCTGGCTTTTGGGAACCTGTTCCCCATGCTGGATTATCTTGCCCAACCTTTATGCAGCAGGAGGATCTCAGTCCTATCTCAACTTGATATGCCATGATTTGTTCAAACCAACGGGAGTCCTGCAACTTTCTGAATGAAGATGGGGGAAGAGTGGATAGGGAGGAAGTAGATGGGAGTGGGGAAGGAGAACAGGAGGAGAAGAGGGAGGGAAACTGTGTCAATACATAAAACAAATGAAAAAGTGTTAATTAAATAAAATAAAATGTTTTTTAAAAGCCTGGGAGTATATACCTCTTGAGGATGGGGACTACATTTGAGGGTACCTTCATGTTAGAACTTCATTCCCAGACACCAGAAACTACTGAACTCACCTGTTATGGGAGATGGCAACTCTGTGGGTACCTGGCGGGGAGTGGCAGAGGGTCCTGAGAAATCAGAGGAGAAGAGAAGTCAGTATCCTGTAAGTCTGTTAACTGTATATTCTGAGCAAACAATGAGACATTTCTGTGGCTTGATTTTTCTCACATAACAAATGAATACGAAGAAGCTTCTGTTGCAGACAGGTTGAAAAGAATGCTTGGCACGTTCCCTGGAACATTCTATAGCTGCTTTCTTACCTTTGTCTTCCATAAATTGTTGTCACCTATACCCTCACTTTGAGTATTAGAGTAGAACAGCATATGATAGTCCTTTTGCTTTTATTTATTTATTTATTCATCCATTCGTTCATTTTATTGGAACTTGGAAGTGAACCTGGGTGCCTCGTGCATACTGAGTATGTGTTCTACTAGACATACGTTCAGTTCATTGTTTTAAATCATATTTATAATCTCTAACAATTCAGGCTTTTGGTTCTTTAATAATGTTTTGATGTTTCTATTCTGTGTAAATATCAAAACAGTCAAAAATCAGACCGAAGGTGCAGCCCAGTTAGGATAGCTTCCTTACTATGCACAAAGCCCTGTTCCCCATCCCTAGCACCACACAAATCAGACATGGTGGCTCAAGCCTGTAGTCTCAGTACTCAGAAGTTCAAGGTTATCCTCCACTACCTAATAAGTTCAAACCAGCCTGGGATACATAGACCATGAATTTAAAAACTAAAATTTTAAAGTAAGGAGAAAAAAGTGATATACTATAAAACCAAAGCAAACGTAAACAACCCAACAATTCATGAACACAGAACAATTTTTGTTATATGGTCACTGATTTCTTATTTAAGTTTTTTGAAAATTTTCATGTATAGGTTCTCTGTTTACATCATTTCCACCACCCCACATTTTCCCCTCTCCAACTCACCCTATGTCTCCCCTTACTCTGTCTCAAATTCATGACCTCTTCTTCATTATTATTGGTATGTGTGTGTGTGTGTGTGTGTGTGTGTGTGTGTACACAACACATAATCTACTGAGTACATTTGGAATTGCTCATATGTACATGTTTTGGGCTGTCCGTTTGTATTAAATAACCTATCAGGTGGCTCATCCCCAGGGAAAACAAATTCTCCCTCTCTGCAGCCATTAATTGCCTATAGCTCTTCATCTAGAAGTGAGACCTTGTGAGATTTCACACAGTTTGCAATGTCACTTGGAGCTGTCATTATGCATATTATTGAGATTTCATGGGCCCATCTTCCTTGTCGTGTCTAGAAGACATAGTTAATATATGCCTCATAACCTTTGATGCGTTTATATCTCTTCTTTCTTGGTGAGCTAATCATTTTTATTTAGGTTGTGTCATTTCCATAGAGTCACAGACAATGAAACTGCTAAAGAATGCACTCTAATAATTCACTGTGGTTTGGAAAACCAAAGAGTAAAAACCCTCAGATTTTACTGTCCAGGTACCCATAATATTCTATTTTTACAATGTATGTGTGATACCTCTTGGCTGTCAGCTTATTTGAATTGAGAGATGCCTAAGAAACTGGGAACACACCTCTAGGTGTATCTATGAGAACATTTCCAGAGACTACTACACCAAAAAGGATCCAACACGATCAATGGAGTAGCCCTCTGATGGATCATAATTCTGAATATGCTGTTGGATGCTGGGAGAAGCATGGAGGGTGCTGCATAATTGGAGGAAGTGGATCACTGAGGATATGTCTTTGGAGAGTACAGCTTGACTTAGTCCCTTCCTATGGTCATTCTCCTTCGTGGCTGCCACGAGTTCAATGACCTTTCTCTATCTACGACATCTTTCTACCTTGATGTTCTTCTGCCTTGCCTCGAGCCCAGGAACACAGAAGCAGGCCACCATGAATTAAAGCCTCTGAAACTGTAAACAAAAGTAAATCCTTCCACCTTTAGGTTTTCCCCAGGCAACCCTACACAAAGACAAAGTGTGGAGAGCGGTGTGGATCTGAGGCTTCCTCAGAGGCCCTGATGAAAGGACAAAGGGGACCTAGCTCTGCGTCCTTGCTCAGAACTAGGGGGACAGGGCCTCAAAAGAGTCAAGGTTTCAGTTCCTGGGAACTAGGCTTTTCCCCTGGCGTTTTGTAAGTCATAAGGCTGCTGTGTGCTCACTCTGTGATACTGTCGAGATAGCCTGTTGCCTTAGTGCAACATTGCTTGATTAGCCTCCTGCTGGCTTCATCCCATTATATGAAAGTTTCTGCTGACTTTGTCCCAATGCTCCCCTTAAAATAATACATAAGATGCACTTCTTAGTAAGTTTGCTTGACATAAGTCATAGCATTGCAAGACCTCCCAATCTCAAACTTTCTTTTCTTGTCTGTCTTTAGTTGTCTCTATCATCTGGTCCTCTCTCTCAGGACTTTGTCACTGAAGACTGACCTGCTGATCCAAATGAACTTAAAGCTGATAGACCCAAAGTGTTCCCAGAAAAATTTAGAAATCAGAGATACTTTGCTACTAAAATTTCAACGATGCATTTCATTTTATTTAATTAGATTTTTTCATGCACCCCAAATCTTTGTAACTTTTTGTTGTTGTCTTTAATTGATTTTATTTTATTATGCTAAATATGTAAGGCCATTTTGTGTTTGTATATATATATGAAAATGTATATATCTGTATACATATGTATATAATGCTTTTGCGGGGGGTTGGTTTTTCAAGACAGGGTTTCTCTGTGTAGCTTTGGAGGCTATACTAGAACTCTCTCTGTAGACCAGGCTGGCCTCGAACTCACAGAGATCTGCCTGCCTCTGCCTCCCAAGTGCTGGGACTAAAGGCGTGCGCCACAAACGCCCAGCACTATATGTATATAATGTACAGATATGTATATTTGAATAAATATTTATATTATGGGGGATTTCTGTATATATGTTTCCCTGATTGGTTGATGAATAAAACAGTGATTGGCCAGCATCCAGGCAGGAAGCATAGCAAGGGCTATCAGACCACAAGAAGTCAGGAGAGAGGAGGCAGAAAGAAGCTGCAAGAGAGGGAAGCCATGTAGCTGCCAAAAGAGTAACATGCTTGATTACAGGTAAGCCACAGCCTCATGGCAATACACAGTTTAATAGAAATGTGCTAATCATTAAGACAGAGCTTAGCCAGTAAGAAGCCTGAGCTATCGGCCAACAGTTTAATCATTAATATGTCTCAGCGTACCTATTTGGGGCTAATTGGCAGCTGGACGAGATGGAACAGAAACTCCAGCTACATTCATATATTCAAATATATATGTGAACAGTTTCTCCATGTCCTGCTTCCTTCCACTTTCTCATCCCTCCTATTAGCCCCCTTACTTCCCCTATATTAGTGGTTCTCAACCTTCCTACTGCTGTAACCCTTTAATGCAGATCTTAATGTTATGGTGACCCTCAACTGTAGCATTATTTCCATTGCTACCTCATAACTGTAATTTTGCTGCTGCTATGGATTGCAATGTAAGTATTTGTGTTTTATGATGGTCCTAGGTGACCCTTGTGAAAGGGTGGCTCAACCCCCAAAGCGATCATGACCCACAGATTGAGCACTGGTGCCCTAGACAGTTTTTATTTAGCTTTCCTGTTGTGTGTCAATATGAGATTTTATGTATCTACATGAAATCCATGACTCACAAATGAGAGAAAAAGTGATGTTTGTCTGAATTTTTTATGGCTAAAAATCCCTTTTTAAGGACTCTATTTAACTTTCTTTATCCATCCCTCTGTTGGTGGACATGTGGGTTGATTGTATAACTTAACTCTTGCAAACAGTGTGGTATCGCATTAAAATGTTGTTTGTCTTGAGTAATGACTGTCCTGAAGACACCACCGCATTTTCTGTAATACAAATGTCTCTATGATATATACAGTTGAGTTATACATTTTTAGTTTGCTAAAGAATATCTATATTGATTTCCATAGTGGTTGGGCTGTTTTACATTCCCAGTGGCCATTGATAATGGTCCACTCTTGTTCGCATTCTCATCAGTATTTATTATCTGTTTTTGTCTGTTTGTTCATTTTTTATTGATGATCACCATTCTGACTGGGGTGAGCTGGAATCTCAAAAATCTTTTTAATCTTCACTTCTCTGGTGCCAGCGATATTTATCATGTTTACCAATACTTAGTTGTTTATCAATTCCTTAGTTTTATACCTTACCTGCTCTGATTAGAATAGCAATAATTGACAGCTTTGTTTTATAAATGTGAGACTTTCACAAACCTTGAGACCTTCACAATGGTAAGGTAATAAATTTGTGTTACAGTGAGCCAGCAGTAGTCTATGGTGATTTTCTATAGCAGCTGTAGGACCCTCATACACCTCCAAGGCTGATGGGAGCTGGAGGCTCTCCTTGCCCACACCTCTGACTGCCTTAGTATTTCCACAAGGGTTTACAAATGCCAAAGAAAAGAATCGTGGATCTGGACCCACTCACCTACAACCACAAGCTCCAGGGGGTTGCTGGGGGCTGACCACAGGTACGGAGATGAGCTGGAAAAGCTGTAGCACCTGTAAATCCCACTGTGAGTGGCAGTCACTGTGGTGATGGGGAAATCAGCCCGGTACCAGCTCTGGGGTTTCTTATGAGGCCCAGTGTCAGCCTGGTGCCATCTCTCGGGTTTCTTATAAGGCTCAGTGTCCCCCTCTTTGTACAGCACAAACTGATCAAAGCCATGTTGGGTCTGGCACTGTAGGGTCATGTCCCCGCCGGAAGTGACCACTGAGCCTGGATGAGCTGAGAGTGAGGGCTTATCGTAAACACCTGGGAAGAAAGAAACCAGTGTTAAAGGCAGGAAAAGCACTGTGGAGGTTTCTCGTAGGTCATCTCCTGTGCTTATTCAAGGCTCTTAGAATACACAACGGTGTAGCTCAGACCTACACAGGCCTCTTTGCGCATGCCTTCTAAGGCTCAAGAAACATTAAGGAAAAGGGAGCAGGAAAAAAAAATAAAAGATTGAAGAAAGTTTACATGACACGGGCATTGCAAACATAGCAGCTATGGTTAGCTACACAAGATCAAGCCAGTTTCATATTGGAGAGGTTCTGTCTAACTGCGGAGTTGCTGGCAGTTAATAGCTGCTTGAGGAAGGAAAATCTTTTCCAGAGATGGTCCCATACCCGAGCACAGATGGGCAGCTCTGAGTAAACCTGGTGAGCTTTGTTTTAAGAGGAAAACATAAGGTTGGGAAGGGAAGCGTTAAGAGAAACGGCAGAGAGTTGGAGGTAGGAGATAGGCAATGATATAATTATATTTCCTTGTTCGCAGGCATGAAATTCTCCAAGAATAAATTTTTGATTGTTTGGTATCGTATTAAAATGTTGTTTGTCTTGAGTAATGACTGTCCTGGAGACACCACCCCATTTTGTGTAAGACCAATGACTCATTTGCCTCATTCTAACTCTAGCACCAGGGAATATGGGGGTTTGCCGTCTAGCACCCACATACCCAAATTTCACCCTCTCCAAGTCCAGAACTGAAGGCCCAGCAGCCCAAAGCCAAAAGACCAACAGCACTCCATCCCTCCCCGAGCCATTACCTGTAGCAATTAACTCGAGCTGGTCGCTTGCGGGAGACCAGTGACTCCCATTCTGATATGAACAGCGGTAGCGTCCAGCATTGCTTATTTTCATGGTATTGATGTAGAGAGAGTCTTGATCCTCATACTCCCTGGATTTCAGTTTCTCCAGGCGATATAAATCCACGACCGGAGGCCCCTGGCACCGAAGAGTGACTGACTGGTCCAGGGGTACCAGGGAACTGGGATGAGCCCTGAGTGAAGGCTTAGGCAAGGGGCCTTGGAAGGGAATCACAGCCTCTAGGTTAGCTCCAAAGAAAACAGGTCCCTTTTGGGTCCTGGTACACCCTCTATCCTCTCACTTGAACCCAGAGGAGGCCAGGGGGTAGCAGGGAGGTGTACTCACCACTCTGTGCTTGGATCACTTGCAGTGCACACAACCCTGAGGAGAAAGAACCAGAGGCTAGAGACTCCCTTGAGCAGACACCTATGCATGTGCACTGGTTTGTATCACAATTATCTTACATTTGTGTTGGCTTTAATTATCTTACATTTGTGTTGATTTATGCAACCTAGACTGGCCTCGAACTTGAACTGGCCTGTAACAGAAGATGACCTTGATCCCACTGCCTCCATCCATGAGTGTTGGGATTGTAGGCATGCATGCATCACCACACCTGGTTTTATGTGGTACTGAGGATAGAACCCAGGGCTCTGCCAATGCTAGGCAAGTCACCGAACTGACCTACATACCAGACCGTACTTATTTTACTGTTTCAGAAGACACTGCTGTACACGGTTCAACCGGAAAAGACCAACTCTCAAAACCAAATCCCAGCCAGGAAAGGAGTGATGAGTGTGAAACCCCAACAGTAAGCTATTGGCATTTGATAGCTACTAGGAGAGTCCATTTTGTTTAAGGGTGTACCCCCCACCATAACTTAACCATGATCCAGTGGAAGCCCACACACCCAAGAGTATATGGGCAGCACAAATTACTTGACAGGATTAAAATTTAAACATACACACACACACACACACACACAAGTTGCATAAATAGTGAAAAGTAGTGGGTTGTGGGGAAAGTGAATGTGATCTAAACACATCACACAGAATTCTCAAAAAACTCATGTTTTGAAAATTGAAGAAATATCGTAGGGTATCACTTATGTGAAATGTCCAGAAAAGGTAAAGCCATAGATGCAGGATGCAGGAAACAGGCCAGTGCTTATGCAGGGTGATAGAAGTGAGACCCTGGGGAGGTAGGACTGCTTAATTGATGGGAGATGTCCTTCTGTATGTGATGATTATATGTTTCTCTTATTGGTTGATGAGTAAAGTTGTTTAGGCCAATAGACAGGCAGGGTTTACTCAGGCAGCAAATCCAAAAAGGGACATGGAAAGGTAGTAGGCAAGTCAGGGAGACACCATGTAGCTGTGGAGGAAGCAAGAGACCCAGACATCACCAATAAGCCAAAATCACATGGAGATACATAGATTAAAGGAATGGGTTAATAATTAAGAGAGGGCTAGCCAATAAGAAGCCTGAGCCATCAGCCAAACAGTTTATACTTAATATAAGCCTCTGTGTGTTTATTTGGTACTAAACAGCTGTAGGATGGGGCAGGACAGAAACTTCAATCTACACTTAGTAAGTGTAGAGTTTCTTTGGGAGTGAAAAGAATGTTATGGAAGAAGAAAGAAATGCTGGCTGTGCCGTGTCATCAATGTACTAAATGTCACTAGTAATTTTTAAATAATTTTTTGGCTAGCATACAAAATAATGGGTTTCAGTGTGGCATCTTCATGCATATATGGCATCTTCATATGTATGCCATGTTCTCAGTCATTCCCCTCCCACAGTTCCTTCTTCTGTGCCTCCTCTAGTTGATCTCTTCCTTCAGTCCCACCCCGTCCCAATTTCTTACTATGTGAATTCCATTGTCCTCTCTATTCCCCATCTCCCTTAAGATCTCTTTCTATCTCTCATGGTCCTCTTTCTGGCTTCGAAACCTACACATACAATCACACACACACACACACACACACACACACACACACACACTTTTAAATCTAAGTTCCCCATATAAAAGAAAGCACACCATATTATATCAGTACTTTCTCATCATGACCACCAGCCCACAAAAAAATGACGCAGGGACTTATTAACTAGGAAAGCTTGGTCATTAGCTTAGGCTTGTCCCATTAGCTCTTCTAGCTTGAATAACCTTTTATTGATCTATGTTCTTCCATGCGGCTTGGTTATCTCTGTCCTGTGTGTCCAACCTCTTCAGTGTCTCCCTGAGATCTCACTGCCATAATCCACAAGCCTAGATTTCTCCTACTCTTCCTCTCTCTCCAGGAAGTCCTGTCTATCCTCTCCTGCCTAGATGGTGACCATTCAGCTCTCTATTACGCGAATCACAGGGTGCATCTTCACACAGTGTACAACAAATAGTCCCACAAGAGCATGCCTGCAACTCTTTGAGTTATTTCACTTGACACAGATGTGTGAATTTTTTAAATAAAAAAATATTTTAGGTCAAAGAGCTGGAAAATTGTTAAGTGATTGAGAGCACTTGCTGCTCATACAGGGCACCTAGGTTTAGTTCACAACATCACCGTGTAGTGGCTCACTTCAGTCCAGGGGATCCAACACCATCTCTTGACTTCCACAGCCAGCAGGCACACACGTATATACATGTGGGTAAATACTCATACACAAAAAGTAAACGTAAGTAAATCTTAAAATATATTTTAAGTCAAAACAAGGATTTCTCCCCCACCCTGTTTAGATTCTTCCCACTGTTTCCCAATATACAAGCTCTTGACGCTTTTAGCTTTACATTTTCATATGTTTATGTCTGTGAAAAAATTTAACTCTGTATATACTGCAAACAAATTCTGACTTCTTAGCAAAGATGGAGGTTTAGACGTCTAGACTCACAGCCACCATCATCCTATTCTATTTTGTTTATGGCCTACAGTATCTCACTCATGGCCTCACATCTACTAGTAAACAGATTCAAACGCTAGCAGAATTTAGTGGTAAAGGGCATGTACTTGGGAACTCATAAAAGCAACAAGAATGGAATGGTGATTATAGGAGGTGAGGTAGGGAGGGACTGAGGAAGATAACAGAGGAGGAGAAATTTCAGTAGGACAGGGACAAATTCAAGAGTCATATTGAACAGGATAGTGACTATAATAAAAACAATGTATCATGGAATATTGTCCTACTCTAAAGAAAACATTCGCAAGAAAATGGATGACATAGAATGCAAGGTATGTACACTCTTTGAAAGAAAAAAACTGTATTTCCTCCCTCGTGTGTGGCACTGAGTCAACAATGTGTTTAGGTGTAAGCAAATATATATGTGGGTACAATATAACATGCAAAAGAGAGAAGAAGAGAGACTGAGTATCAGCAGATGAAGAAGGGCTGGATGCAGGTAATGGTCATGAGTCATGAGAGAGGATGTAAAATCTGTTGTTTTGCTAGTTCTAATTCTGCCGGAGATTTTTTTGTTTTGTTTTGTTTTGGGTGACAGGTAAGTGCTGTGGTGGTTTAGATAAAAGTGGTCCCCACAGGCCCATAGACAGTGACACGATTAGAAGGTTGATGTGGGTGTGACCTTGTTGGAGCAGGTATGACCTTGTTGGAGGAAGTGTGTCACTGTGAGTGGGCTGTGAGGTTTGAGATGCTCCAGCCACACCCAGTGTGGCTTCCCTTCCTGCTGCCTGAGGATCCAGATGTAGAACTCTCAGTTCCTTCTTCATAATCATGTCTGCTCAGATACCACTATGCTTCCAGTCATGGCAATAATGGATTAAATTTCCGAACGATAAGCTGCCACAATTAAATGTTTTCATTTATAAGACTTTCCACGGTTATGGTGTCACTTCACAGCAATAAAACCCTAACCTTGGCCGGGCGTTGGTGGCGCATGCCTTTAATCCCAGCACTCGGGAGGCAGAGGCAGGCGGATCTCTGTGAGTTCGAGGCCAGGCTGGACCGATAGCCTCCAAAACAATACAGAGAAACCCTGTCTTGTAAAAACCAAAAAAAAAAAACCCTAACCTAAGACCTAAGACAATAGCATAAAAATAGATTTGATAGTGAAAATATAAAATCTAATGTGAAGTTCCACATCTTCTGATCTCAATATCTATTCTATTTATACAGAAGTTCATTGAGTTTTATAGTCTTTGGGTCTGTTTAATCTCTCTCTCTCTCTCTCTCTCTCTGTGTGTGTGTGTGTGTGTGTGTCTGTGTGTGTGTGTGTCTGTGTGTGTGTCTGTGTGTGTGTGTGTGTGTGTCTGTGTCTGTGTGTGTGTGTATTTGGAAAGGTTGTAACTTTTATAATAAATGTTTAAATTGGTTTGTTTCTACTAAAATATTTTTTCATACAGTATATCATGTTTGCTCTCCCCCAACTCCTCCAAAATCCTCCTGACCTCACTATCCACGCAACTTCATGTTCTTTCTTTCTTTTCTTTCAAAAAAGTCAAACAAAAATAATACCAAACAAAAGGCCCACAAAAAAATGGAGTTTATTTTGTGTTGACCAACTACTCCAGAGCATGGACCTGCCCTGGAGCTTGAAGTATAATATACCAAGTAACACTCCATTAGAGAAAACTGATTTTCACTTTTCCAGTGGGTTTCTATTATAAATAGTTTCTTGGTGAGTGTGGGACTCTGTCTGGCTTGAACCTGTCAAGTCTTGTGTGGGCTACCACACTGTCTGTGTATATGGTTTGTTTGTTTTTAGTGACAACATATTTTATTGTTGAGAGGAAGACTTTTATTTTAGATATGAAGGAGAGTACAGCCCAAGCCATGTGGAAACATCCAACGCAGGGAGACAAAGTAGTAGACTAAACTTGGCCAGTACACTGACCTGGGCCGTGAGAAACGGGGGAGGAGTAAGAGAGGTGGACCAAGAGAAAAGGCAAGGAGAAGGGGTCAGGAGAACACCAAGAGGGCACGTGGTTGAGACGGAAGGGTATATAGGGATGAGAAGCTGGGGGAGAGAAATGAATAAGCTAGAGATGGTTAGGGTGGATACTGGAATGAGAAGAGCTAAGATGCCTGTGTGGACTCTGTGCTGAGAGAAAAAAACATATAGTATTTTATTCTCAAAATTTTTTAATGTTGTCATCATCTTAAAAATTAGAATATATGCCAAAAGCAGACCACAGAGTCAGAGACAGTCCCTGCTCCCACAGTTAAGAGAGCAGAGCCCAGAAACAGAGCCACATGCATGATGATTAAATTTTTATAATACATATAAATTAGTTTTATAAGCAGAACAATCAAATTGGTCTTTCATGTTGGAAAAATAGATGCAGAGATAGAGGAAAGTTTCTTGGTTTCTATTTGAATTCCTGTTATGCAATGAAGTGTTTAACCTCCCCAGGTTGTGGTTAATTTACCTGTAAAATGAGGCCAATTACTGTCCCTGCCTCATTCATCTATGGGGCATTAAATGAGTCATATCTTCTTTAAAACAAAGAGGGCAGGAGTCATAGACCAATTTCTAACCCATAATGAGTATTGTGTAGGTATGTTACAGTGAGTGGCAGGTCGCTTGCCTTCAGAGCATGCCTCTTATCCCCAATAGCTCAACAGTCCCCTGCCTGCTCTGCCTCTTTAGGCCCTGAAGTTCTTCCGATAAAATAAGGAAACAACAATGCCACCTGCCCTGGTGAAGAGGGACAAGAGAAACACTTGCTTCACCGAGAATCATTTGTCAAAGATTCTAATGTGCTCTGCTATTAAAACAAATACAGACAGATCAGATTTGCGAACTAGTCCAAATGCCGTCAAGCCCACGGGGAAACAAATAAAGGTGAGATGAAGAGGAGAAATGGGAGCGAGAAAGAAGGAAAAGAAAGGGCGGAGGAGAGGCAAGTGAGGAAAGAAGGAAAAGGGGTTGTAAGTATTTAAGAGACAAGATGAAGAAAGGAAAGAAAGCTATGGAGAGGAAGGAAAAAAGTGGGTCAGCGAGATAGCTCAGTAAGAAAGGACGCTTGCCACCAAAGTTGATGGCCTGAGTTCAATTCCCCAAGACTCAACGCGATGGAAGAAAATAAGGTGCCCTCTGATCTACACACACACACACACACACACACACACACACACACACACACACACACACTGAACAAAAACATAAATAAATGATTAATGTTTTAAATGGAGAGAGAGAGAGGAGGAGGGAGAGAGGAAAGAAAGCAGCCCTGGTGTTCTGGTGTTCCTGGTATAGAGGGCAGAAGTGTGGCCAATACTGAAACACCTGTTCAAGTGTCCTGGCCAAGCCAAAGCAAACCAAAGCAATTAAACCAATTGTATCTCTCCTCTGTTTTTCCTTCCAGCAAATGGAACCTCACAGACTCCCGTTCTTGTTCTGAAATTCACCCCTGACAAGATGTTTTTCGTTCCTTTGCACGCAGAGACTGTTGTAAAGTACCTCCCAGGTCAACCCTCGGGACTCACCAAGACAGAAGAAAGCAGGTTGGGCTGGAGACATGGCTCTGCAGCCCGGTCCTGAGTTGTGTGGCCAAGCAGGAAACTTGTAGATGCCTGGAACCTAGGCACAGGATGTGATGAGGGAGAAGAATTCCCTCCTTCCTGATTGTACAAGCCCCAGCTTTCCTAATTGAGAGTCATCAAGACAGGGCCATCTCCTCAGTAGGATGACTTGCACACAGGCTCCTGAAGTCATCACTTATCTCCTCTCACCAGCTGTATATCAGCCATTCGTCTTCCTGCAGGAACACGACCTATGTCCTAGACTCCCATCAAATTCTTCATAGTCACTGGTCCAAACTTCATATGTCTGACTTCATACTGTCAGGTTCAAAGGATACTCCAATTCTCCAAACTCTAAAGGGCTGGGGATATGTCCAGAAATGGCTCTCTTGGCCCAACTCAAGTTGGACTATAGAAGGATTCTGGTGGTTAGATAAAAAGCCAGCATTCCTCAGGAACTTGTAAAACAGTTCCAGTCTTCCAAAAGGAGTCATCTCCCTTACATCTGGCAGACGGGAGATATGGCTCTCCATTGACCGGTACCTGTGGTTACATGTCAAAGCCCATGCCATCCTCTAGGCTTCTACAGTCCCTATTCACAAATGCCTATTATGCATTTCAAATGCCCACACTAGCATCCTGGCCTTTCTCACATTCCCAGGCTTCCTTTCTCCTATATATAGTCATTTGTTCTCTATATAACAGCAAGGTGTACCCCCTCCCCCACTATCTATTGCCATCTCTACTATCCTCTGCTATCCCCACTTCCCTAGCCCTGACCATGTCCAGTCTGTTTCTTTTTCTCCCTACTCTGGGCTCTTCCAGATACCTCTAGATGTTCTCTCCATCTTGCTCACAATGACCTTCCCTCCTAGTGGAGTGGCCAATTAGGTGGCTTCTTTATTGTGCCCTCCCACACACATGTATACCTACTGGGTCATTATAACTCCAAAATGTGAAAAATACCTCATTCCTAGACGATAGAGAGATGGCTTAGCAGTCAAAAGCACTAGCTGCTCTTCCAGAGGACCTCATTTCAGTTCCCAACATCCACATTGGGCTGCTCTCGACTGCCTGTAACTCCAGCTCCAGGAATCTGATGCCCTCTTCTGGAGTCTGCTGTCACCTACACTAATGTATACAAAGTCACACATACACATATAATTGTTTTTTATTTTCCATCCCATAATTGATGAGCTTTTGGCAGGCAATGGCTGCTGCGAAAGGGAAAGTCATCTTTCTTCTGTGTTTTGGCCCATGGTAGGTTGCCCATATTTCAGTGGATGGCCCTACACCTATGTTGTGTATGCAGCACCAATTGGATTTAGTAGGTTATAAAAAGAAGAGGAGAAGGAAGAGGGGATGGAGGAGAGAAAGTGGCTGGAGACTTGACTTAGTGGTTAAGAGTACTTGCTGCTCTTCCAGAGGACCCAGAAGACCCAATTCACATCCAGACATCAACATTGGGTGGCTAACAACCACCTGTAACTGCAGTTCTGTGCAATCTGACGCCCTCTTCTGGCCTCTGCAGGTACGTGCACACATGTGACATATACACACATAAATAAAATTAAATCTTGAGAAGAGAAGGAGGAGAAAAAGAGAAGGCGTGAAGCTGGAAGGATGTGCAGTAGGGGTTCTAGGAGTGGGAGTAGATATGAGCTAACATGTTATATTCATGTATGAAATTACTACAGAATGCTTAATAGGAAATGAAAATAATGAATACTGGTAAGGGTGTGGAGAAGTAGGAGCCTGTGGCTGGAGATTTTGCAATATGGTGCAATCACTATGGGAAAAAGTCAGTCTTGGCGTATGTGTCTTGAATCTTGTCAACCCCATGAGCCAAAGCCATAACACACTAACCACAGCACACTTTTGGTAGTGACATTGCAATTACACATCAAAAATGAGTCTTTTAAATTGTATTTCTTTTAATGTTTTTGCATCGTTAGAAATTAAACCAAGGCCTTTCATGGATAAGGCAAGTGCTTTAACCATTGAGCCACAGCCTCATCCCTTACTGGTAGGTTTGCTAATGTTGAACCACATCTGAAGCATCTTAGTGGCAGATACTAAACAGGCACTCCACTCAACAGCAAATCCACACCCCCAGGTCCTCACTGGTGAATTCCAGACCAGTATTCTACCTCTGAGCCACATCTACACCCCTCAGTGGTAGACTCTAGGCAGGCACTCTACCACTGAACCAAACCCCCAGACCCTCACTGAGGACTCTAGGCAAGGGCTCTACCACTGAACCATACCTCCAGACCCACACATTTTAATATAATCTACACATTGGTGTAAAAGTCATTCAACTGTCCATTGGATGTTTGGAGTTTATCACCTCCCTGTACATCATCTCCCCATATATCAGAAGCAGAATATTTATCTGCTTCTACCATAGTATCCTCCATCACTTACCCAAAAATAACCACACAGATTATATCCAAACACCTTTACTGTAACACTGTAAGCAACAATTGGCCATCACTCTATGTGAATGCTTAATGGACTTATGTGAGACTGTCTTCAATAAACAATCATAAGAAAGTTGAATGGAGTCCATTTGGAGGAGGAAGGGGACCAAGAAGAAGTGACTGGAGAAACTACGAAAGGTAAATATGAGCAAAGTGCACAGTACATTTGTATGAAGATGTCATTGTGAAATCCTTATGTTGCTATATAATTTTTAAAGTTAGAAAAAATTAGCTAGATAAATCCCCTCCTACCAAGGCTCAGGAACCATCATAGAATTGGGAGCAGAAGGATTGTAAGAGCCAAAGTTCGTGGATTACCACAAAGGATTGTTTGGACTGAACAGAGTGAAGAAGGTACATGTCATACTTTTATGTGATCACCAGTGCAGTAGATCTGTTAAAACGTGAATACATTGAGCCACCAAATGACTGTGTGTCAATAGTCAATAGCAATGCTTTGGCTCTATTATAATCTCATAGGGCTACCACTGCATGTGTGACCCATGGTTGAATGAAACAGCACACCAGTATGCAACACACAGCATATGTACCCATAAGGTATATAGGCTTTTAAGTCTACTTCACTTGGCATCAAATTGCATTGAAGAACTGACACACACTGAAGGTTTACCAGATGGCTCAGTAGGTAGAAGTGCTTGCTGCACAACCAGGTGACCTGCTTCCCATCCCTAGATCAATGGGTAAACGCACTCGCCATGCAAACCCAAGGACCTAGGTTTGATCTGCAGAACCGATTTAAAGGTGGACAGAGAGAACCAATTCCATCAAGTTATCCTTTGCCTTCCATATGTGAGCCTTGGTGCAAATATGTCCATATATACTGTTGTTGTTGTTGTTATTATTTGTTGATTTTATTATTGCAATAAATAGTGATACACAAGCTTCATCACTTCCAGCAGAATGAGGGTCTCTGCATCCCCCCATACACCCCAAGCCTGGGACCGTTCAGCCTTCCTATGCTCTGCCAATCTGAAAGCACATCAGCCTGTGAGCTTGCTGCAAACTGCATGAACTAAACCAAACTTTACTGGAAGTCTGAAATTGAGGGTTAGTTCCTTCAAAGAAGACTGTTTTCTCCTAACAGAGTCTAACTTCCCCTTTTCTAACTCCTACCACCACCACCCCCAGGTTCTAGAAATTCTTGGCCATTCTTTGTTTATGGGTGTAACAGCCCATATTTGCCTTTATTGTAAGATGGTGGTGTGTGTGTGTGTGTGTGTGTGTGTGTGTGTGTGTGTGCGTGTGTGCTTGAGTATATATGCCATGTGTGTATGTTCTGTAAAGTATGTATATGTTTTTCTGTGTGTGCTGCATGTGTGTTTGTGTGTGTGTGTGTGTGTGTGTGTGTGTCTGTGTGTGTGTGATAGGGGATCATTTCAGGGTTAGGGAGAAATCGGGCACCAGGGAATATCCACAAGGATGAACCCAGCTAAGTAAGACTCCTAGTAATAGTGAGAGGTACCTGAACTAGCCATCTCCTATAATCAGATTGGTGACTATCACAATTGTCATCAGATACTCTATCCAGTAACTGATGGAACCACATGCAGAGATCCACAGCCAAGCACTGGGCTGAACCCTGTGAATCTTGCTGAAGAAAGGGGGGAGGGATTGTATGACCTGGAGGATTGGTGTTATGTCAGGGGAACCCACAGAGACAGCTGACCTGAGCTCATGGGAGCACATGGACTCTGGACCAACAGTTAGGGAGCCTGCATGGAACCAACCTAAGCCCTCTGTATGTGTGTGACAGTTGTATAGCTTGGGCTGTAAGGCTCCTAGCAGTGAGATCAGGACCTGTCCCTGGCTTTTGAGGACCTGTTCCAGCTCAGAGGCAAGGAAAGGAGCTTTGTGAAGCTTTGTCCTGCCTCAACTTGATGTTCCATGCTTTTTTCAATCCCATGGGAGGCCTGCCCCTTTCTGAGTAGAGACAGAGGAGGAGTGGATGGTGAGAGGGGTAGATGGGAATCAGGGTGGGGGAGGTGAGGAACTTCGGTCAGAATGTAAAATAAATGAAAAAATGTTATATAATTTTTTAATTTTTGCTCTTATGGGGGCTGTAGAGATGGCTCAGAGGTTAAAAGCACTTAACTGCACTTCCAGAGGACCTGAGTTCAATTACCAGTCACCACCTGGTGGCTCACAACCATCTGTAATGAGATCTGTTGCCCTCTTCTGGCCTGCAGACATACATGGAGGCAGGATGTTGTATTCACAACAAATAAATAAATCTTTTTTAAAAATTTGCTGTCATAGCTTTATTTGTAATTGCCAGAACTTGGAAGCAACCTAGATGTCCCTCACCTGAAGAGTGGATAGAGAAAATGTGGTACATCTACACAATGGAGTACTACTCAGCAGAAAAAAATAATGGAATCATGAGATTCGCAGGCAAATGGATGACACTAGAAGAAACCATCCTGAGTGAGGTAACCCAGTCACAAAAAGAGAAACATGGCATGTACTCTCTCATATATGGATTTTAGACATAGATCTGGGGAGTGCCAGCCTACAATCCTATGGCCAGAGAGTCTGTGAAACAGAAAC